CTCAACTTTGACTTCTTGGACAGTAAGTCTTGCTGCCATAACCTGAGTCCTTTAAATGGCAGCTCAGGCAAGGCAAATGTGTTGGTATTACAGGCCGTTCACCATAAAAAATTTACACCAATGTGGCATGTGCAGTTTGACAGTTTCAAGATTCCATCAATCCACCATTTTCCTTAATTTGACCCACCCTAGTGGATCTAAAATTGATACAGGTCTAATTTGACCCAGAACAGCCCAACCTCTATATACAAAGAGTATGTAGTGGGGAGAACAAGTATTTGATACACTGCTGATTTTGCAGGTTTTCCTACTTACAAAGCATGTAGAGGTCTGTAAGGTACACTGTAACTGTGAGAGACGGAATCTAAAACAAAAATCCAGAAAATCACATTGTATGATTTTTAAATAATTAAATGCATTTTATTGCATGACATAAGTATTTGATCACCTACCAACCAATAAGTATTTGATATATCAGAAAAGCAGAACTTAATATTTGGTACAGAAACCTTTGTTCGTAATTACAGAGATTCATACGTTTCCTGTAGTTCTTGACCAGGTTTGCACACACTGCAGCAGGGATTTTGGCCCACTCCTCCATACAGACCTTCTCCAGATCCTTCAGGTTTCGGGGCTGTCGCTGGGCAATACGGACTTTCAGCTCCCTCCAAAGATTTTCTATTGGGTTCAGGTCTGGAGACTGGCTAGGCCACTCCAGGACCTTGAGATGCTTCTTACAGAGCCACTCCTTAGTTGCCCTGGCTGTGTGTTTCGGGTCATTGTCATGCATACGGGGTGGCTGTGGCTCAGGAGGTAGAGCGGTTTGGCCGTTAATTGGAAGGTCGGCGGTTCAATCCTGGCTCCCCCTGGTTGCATGTCGAAGTGTCCTTGGGCAAGATACTGAACCCCGAATTGCCGCCAGTGTATGAGTGAGTGTGAATGTTAGTTTCCGTTTGAGCACTTAGGCTCAGTGTACGAATGTGTGTGACTGGTGAATGCAGATGTAGTGTAAAAGCGCTTTGAGTGGCCACGACCCATCGTCAGTGCTCTTACTGAGGGAAGGAGGTTGTATCTCGCGATATATGCCCCCATCCATCCTCCCCTGCAGAAAAGCATCCCCAAAGAATGATGTTTCCACCTCCATGCTTCACGGTTGGGATGGAGTTCTTGGGGTTGTACTCATCCTTCTTCCTCCAAACTTGGCAAGTGGAGTTTAGCCATAAAGCTCTATTTTTGTCTCATCAGACCGCATGACCTTCTCCCAGTCCTCCTCTGGATCATCCAGATGTTCACTGGCAAAATTTTAGACGGGCCTGGACATTCGCTGGCTTGAGCAGGGGGACCTTGCATGCGCTGCAGGATTTTAATCTATGACGGCATAATGTGGTGCAAATGGGTTTTTTTGAGACTGTGGTCCCAGCTCTCTTCAAGTCATTGACCAGGTCCTGCCGTGTAGTTCTGGGCTGATCCCTCACCTTCCTCATGATCCTTGATGCCCCACGAGGTGAGCTCTTGCATGGAGCCCCAGACCGAGGGAGATTGACTGTCATCTTGAACTTCTTCCATTTTCTAATAATTGCGCCAACAGTTGTTGCCTTCTCACCAAGCTGCTTGTCTATTGTCCTGTAGCCCATCCCAGCCTTGTGCAGGTCTACAATTGTATCCCTGATGTCCTTACACAGCTCTCTGGTCTTGGCCATTGTGGAGCGGTTGGAGTCTGTTTGATTGAGTGCGTGGACAGGTGTCTTTTATACAGGTAAGGAAGTTCAAACAGGTGCAGTTAATAAAGGTAATGAGTAGAGAACAGGAGGGCTTCTTAAAGAAGAACTAACAGGTCTGTGAGAGCCGGAATTCTTACTGGTTGGTAGGTGATCAAATACTTATGTCATGCAATAAAATGCAAATTAATTATTTAAAAATCATACAATGTGATTTTCTGGATTTTTGTTTTAGATTCCGTCTCTCAGAGTTGAAGTGTACCTATGATAAAAATTACAGACCTCTACATGCTTTGTAAGTAGAAAAACCTGCAAAATCACCAGTGTATCAAATACTTGTTCTCTCCACTGTATCTTCGGTACAAAACTGTTTTCAAAATATTTTCATTTTAGCACATTTTTGGTCACTTTAGCAAAAGTCATGAAATTCCAGGTTAAATGAATGGCATGAGGGTGTTTTTAATGCTGTCAAATGTCAACTTTGATCCAAACTGTATGTAAGGGTTAAAAAATTGCACACACACAGCCTCATGCACAACTAGCAAGTTTTCTCTGTCTCTCTCTATCTCTCTACACGCACAACCTTTAATCTACCGCCTACAGCCTTCACAATGTTGCACTAGGAGGACCAAATTACTTTTGTCCCAGAATAGAGGCGTGGGAGTTACTTAGCTCTATTGCGCAAATCATGTTCAAGCAGTAAGTCACTTATTTCTTTATAGTAACAGGTATGTTCAGTAGCTCGGGTCAAATGCATTTTTTAAGAATGAATAGTGACTTTAAGTCACAATGGTTCCAGTCGCTCAATCTGTCGATCTATCAATCTGGTGTCTTCATATCACTGAGTTGTTTGATGAAGCATCCTAGGATGTGCTGGGACACATCATCATTGATGTTTACTGAGATCACTAGGTGTTTATTGTCATCATAAACCCTAGCTCAGCCAACCCAGCCAGGATTGATGAGACGCTGGCTTGTGTCCCAGCAGCATTGTCACTCCTCCTGATTCAAAGCCATCTGAAAACCCTCTCTGCAGCCTGCATGGTGAACTTGAAGGTTTTTGATTTTTTTTACAGCCCCACTGATGCTCTGTCCCTGCTGTTCTCATCTGTGACACCACAATTGTGGAACGAGCTACCACATGCCATCAGAGCAGGGGTGTCCCTCTCTAACGTCAACTTCTCTTCGACAACACTTTCTTTTATAACACCTCTAACTCCTAACCTCTAACATGCACTTCCTGTGCTCTTCTTCTTCTATACCCTTACAATTATCCTGTATTATGTGCACTTTTTGTTAACTCTTTCACTAGGTATTTACCCCATTGATGTGACATGTATATTAGCTCTTACTAGCATATATTAGCGCTCTTTTAATATGTGTTGTCAGTTGTAGTTCTCGTGCGGTATTTGGGTTCTGTTGATGCTTGTATGTTATTCCTCAAATGTAAGTCGCTTTGGATAAAAGCATCTGCCAAATGAGTAAATGTAAATGTAACGATTACCACTGTTGCAGATGTGTAAGCAAAATTCAGATTTTGTAGCTGGTCATGGCAGAGCTATTTGTATAAGCTTTTGATGCTGTTGGTTAGTTTATTCAAAACATTCCATCATATACAGTAAGAGAGAAATATAGATGACATTCCATCAAACTAATTTTGACAGCTACTTCTGGTCCCGCCCCCATACCGGATATGTATATGTAACTGATAAGAGGGGTGCGTACATCCTTCCGTTGTTTTCACCACATGGAGATCCCCTCTTTGGTAGGTAGATACTGTTCAAGGATCCAAGTGCCCTCTTGGCATTTTCTTGAAGACAATGTTCTCGTTTTATTTTCACAGACTCCCATCATTGGCCTATGGTAACCCCTCCTAGTCTCTTATCATTGGCTCACGGCTAACTCTGCCCATCCTCTTACTTTGTATGTGACAGCATGTGGGAACTGGTGAGGGGTTGGAGACCATTACTTCTGGTACAAGCAGATCATTATATAAAGTCTGTAGTTCCAAACTCTTGTCTCCGGCTGATAAAAATAGGTTCCTGTTTCGAAAATGAACTCTGTCTGATAAACCCAGACCGTTTTTAACAACCGGAGTCTCGGGTTATAGATAACCATAGTTAATAACTGGTCTACAAGATTACCTGAAGATGCTAATGACAGTTAAAACACACAACTTGATGTGGCTAATTGAGAAAAAGGAGGGAGGGGAGGGATGGAAGGAGGTGCGGGTGGTGGAGCACATTCCTCAATTCACCCTGCACAGCCTATGCTACACCAGAAATAGAGAGGACAGAGAAGAAGAGACACAGACTCTAGAAGGATTAAAGTTTTAAGACTCACAAGTTTAAGACTAGACTACAGCTTTTCACAGGAGTGATAATGATGGCAAGTTTGTAAGACAAAGCATTAGCAAAGAAGTTTAATTTTGGAACTCACTCTTATTTTGCTGTATGCTGTTGAAGGTAATTTAAAATGCTGTTTAATTTTAACTCACTGTTATCTATTTTACTGCTTTACCATAATTAATTCAATTTATTCCTTACTTGTTTAATAATAAAGACTGACTTGATTCCAAATCAATGAAGAAACCTCCTACTGATCCTTTGCTGGCCCCGGAGATTCATCCTTTACGTATAACTCATTGCTATACTTTTTTTAATGATAAATTTATTGCCATAAACACCTACTAGTTAATTCATTCAAGTTCATGTTTTATTATTTAATAAAGTCTTTAAATCAATGAAAAATCTCCTCCAATTATCAGTCAAAAACACACAACGGAAGGATGTACGCACCCCTCTTATCAGTTACATACACATATCCGGTATGGGGGCGGGACCGGAAGTAGCTGTCAAAATTAGCTTGATTGAATGTCATCTATAGTTCTCTCTACAGTATTATAAGCTGATTATATGTTTTATACTGTGACGGCCCCAAGAGGTCTCAGTGTTGGGCCTCCTGTATTGTGTGGTGTCTGTCTGCTGTCTGTTTCTTCCTGTAGGCAATTAAGGAGATTGGGAGCACCTGGCCAGTGAACCCAACCTATTTAAGCCAGCCCGCCCAGACGCCAGTGTCGGTGCTTGCGCCTGCCAACCTGAGTTGCAGCCTCCTTCTTTGTTGCGGTCTGAGAGCTGGGGTTGTAACATATACGCAAAGCTTTATTCTGCTAATATCTACCAACAATAGCTTTCAAATAAAATGGAGTTGAGTTACTGTCAAATATTCCCCCTTTGATGACAGAAAATGACATAAAATGAAGATGCTTAAGTAAAGCACAAATACTTAAAAGCTGTTTTATTAGTTACTTTCCATCACTTGCTATCACAAAGATTGAAACTATTAATTTAAATAAAATGTAAATTCTCAAGTAAAATTGCATGACGGGGAGTCAAGCACAGACTTTACAAATTATGGTTACGTCATCACTGTTTACACATTGGAACATATTAAAATGATTGTGCATAATGTATTTTAATCTAGACTGATACTGCACAAAACTAGTGCTAGATCTAAGAACTACACTAAATCATTTGTACAAGGTAACAAGTTGTAGCTCAATTAATTTTGGATAGATCACGAATAGCAAGAGAGATGATTAAGCCTTTGAAGAAAAGAAAAACTGCAGACAGGTTTGTCTGAAGCAGGATTTCATTCAGCCCACATAAAACAACATATTAATGGCACACCTGTGGCTTCTAAACAAACAAAAACTTGCACATCTAGTATTTCTAGAGCATGTTCGTGATTCCAGCAGGGTGAGGGAATCATCATTTTTAGGAGTGATAACACACAAAATGCTTTTTTACAACACAGAATGCTCCATATTTCAGGTAGTCATCAATCTAACCTGCAAAAGACGCTCAGTAGTGCTACAACAGAACAACTCTTGTTCGAACTAAAAAAACTCGACAGCTGCCATTTTTTTATTTATTAATTGTGTATTATATAGAAGAACCATAGGGATGTGCAAATATTTTTAAAAAAGATCAAAGATGATAATGATGCTTTGACATTTTTGTGGCTCTATATAACAGCATGTTCAGAACAGAAAACAGAATTTCAGCCTGTTTTGCATTAAATGTCTTTTTGTTGTTTATTCTGTGGCAGTTGTATTTAGTGACATACTCTGGAAATGAAAATAAGACAAATCACCCAAATATCAGCAGGAAATATCGTACTGAAAATGGTATGCAAATATGCTGGGGATTCTCTTTACCTGGAAAATTGTGTCAAACAAACAGTGGTTGGCTTTGACAGCTGCGTAAATGTGCAGGACACACAAGAAAATACATATGTAAAGGAATCAAACACAGTACAGCACAAATTATAACATTAATTTAAAAAAGGCAACAGTCAATACCATTTGAATTAATAATAATTATTTAAATAATGCAATTATTGCATTGTAGCTGGTCCATACTGACAAAAACTAAAGCTTCATTTCTGAGCAGCAGTCCTTGGCTTATTATAAACAAGGAAGTCTGAGATGTCATGCCACACATTGCTATCATGGTAGAGGTAGTTCATTGAAGACTGCAGTGAGGGCTGGAGGGTGTGTGGGTAATATTCAAACAGCCACAAGACAATGCCCCACACCAGCGTAGCGAACAGTGGAAAAGGGTCGTGTTTCGGCTGGGGTATGATTCCTTTCTCTACAGCCAGCCGAGACAGAGCGAACAGGATCCTGGACAGCAAATACATGTTGATCTAGAGAAGATAGAAGGGTTTTAATGGACTGCACACGTTTATTTGAGTAACGACAGTCTTAAATTTATAATGATGTACTTTTGAAGAGTAAAAGTGACAACAGTCATACCTGACTATTGATGTTGTTGTTATCTCCAAACACTAACCATCCTCCAACACAGGCAGCAAGAAAGGAGTGAGACTGCAAAGTCTTTCCCTGGATCCTCTCCTGCACGGCTTGCAGTCCTTTGTAAGTGAATACAAAGCATGCCAGATTGCGGGAATGGGTGTAAGTGGCCTTCAAAATGGCTCTGAGCTTGTCCTTCAAACTGTCAGAGGAAAGAAAAACATCTTCAGACTTTAGCGGCACGAGGAGTACTACAAAAAGCAGGGTGCTGATACTTAAAAGTAAATAACACTTCCGATTCTTACCTGCCATTTCTGAATAGAAATGTCATTACCAGGGCATGTGGTGCTCTGATTTTGGCCCCATATCTGAAAAATAAACACAGTGTAATGTCAAACATCCTCAGTGCTTTCTGTATAGTCAACAACATCCCCTGCTAATATGTTCCCTTAAGCAGTGGTGGAAGAAGTACTCACATCTTATGTATAAATACTCTGTTACATGTATATGTTCTGTTTTCAAAAGCCCACTTAAGTAAAAATAAACAAGTATTAGCATTAAAGTACCATAAAGTAAAACAGTTAGGGCTAATTCCAACTTCTTTTTATAATGCAGGGTAGTTTAATCTATAACAATATATCATCATTACTAAATTGATTTATATTTGCTATTACTAATCTATTAAGTAACAAGTATCTAAAGGTATTAAAGTTAGATAAACGTAACGTTAGAGGAGTAAAAAGTACAATGTTTGACTTTGAATAAGTGGAGTATAAGTATTAAGTAGCATACAATGGAAATACTGAAGTAAAGTACAAGTACCTCTTGAGTAAACGTACTTAGTTACACTGCACCACTGGCCGCTCCAGGAATGTAAAGCTAGCCACCACTGCTGATTAGCCAAAGACCAATTAGCTTCAGTGGTAAAAGAAGTTAACTATCGTAGCTCAGCTAGCTACTAGTTTATTGAATATTTTCACTCACACGGCGCCGTTTCTGAATCCTTTCAAAACGGCCAATGCCGCTTTATATTTCTCCTGCTGCAGCAGATTATTGACGGTATACAGGAGAGTGTTTATCAGATCAGGTCCTGCCATGACTTTCAATCGATAGGACACAAATACATGTTGCACCAACAATCCAGTGTCACAGCGAATGTGCGCCGTAGTACACAATTATAATTTAGGTTCCTATGTAAATTAAGCGCAGTGAACTATTGTTTTGTTTTTTGGTACAAACATAAAAGAAAAACATGCGTTTTTAGGGTTAAAAAAACTATTGTAAAATGTAGGCAAGATGAGACGGCAAAAGTGATTTGTTAGAGTCGTGCTGTGTCAACATCTGGTGTGAGGTAAAGCTGTATATCAAACATCGGGAATTGCAATAGTCATTTAGCTATTGCATATTATATAATGTGAGAGTGGATGCCTCGTGCAAAGAGTGCAGGCACATTTTCACAACACCTTTCTGAGGCAATAAGAAGAAATTCAAGGCCAGTCATTAGACATATCCTGCAGGAGAATTTCAGTCAGGTGGTGCAAATGTTTTTAAAATGGGAGTCAAAGAGAGGCCATAATTAGTTGAGTAAAGCCAATTTAAGAGCAGATACATATACAGTATTATCTTACATTCTCCAACACCAATGCTCAATGCAAGACATATGATTAAATAAGAATCTGTATCAGTAAATACTATGATCTTTGGTTAAAGAGGTACTCATATCCTTTACTTAATTAAGTAAAAGTACTAATACAACAAAGCCAATCAAACGTTTATTATAATACAAATACACTTGGATTATCAGCAAAATACACCTAATATATCAAACAGACATACAGAATGCCCCCTTTCAGTATAAGTACTGTTTCACTCATGTATAAGCAGCATTCTATTGTTGTAGCAGGTTGAAGTGGAGCTAATTGAATTTATTTACTGCTGGGTAGTTGTTCATGAAAACTGCCTCAAACTATATAATCTAATCACATACTTCGTATGCAACAATAGCTGTTAAATGAATGTAGTGCAGTTAAAAATATATATATATATATTTCCCACTAAACCGTTGTGGAGAGACTATCTCACCACTACCTGCAAGTTGTTTTAAGTTTAAGAATTTCAGTGGTGCATTATATTTTGTGTCAAAAATCAGTAGACATAATTCAAGCAGATCACACATCTTTGAGTGTACTGTGAGCATTTTTCCAGTGTGAAAACACAATATACCTACTTATAAATATAATGCATTATGGGATTGGTAAGATCAATGGAATGATAAAGGCTGGACCCACAGCAATATATTCCTTCTAGGGGGACCCAGAAATTGTAGCTAAGAGGTGCGTAGTACCGTTTTCATTTCCCTTAACACAATGTTGGGAAAGTAAACAAGAGGTCAATATGCAAAACAATCGTGTTTTAGAAGAAATATACAAACAAAAGTAAAGAACTGTGTGTAGGATGGTGTAAACAAATGTGGAAAATGTTGCAGGAGCCCAGTGTTTTAATCATTTTATTAATGTTTTTTCCACAATCAATCCAGTTCACTGTTACATGAAACCCATCCTCAAAATAAATAGTATTCAACCATTAACTTCCACTTATCAAAAAAGTTAGAGCCTCAAAACAAACAGTGATTACACTTTCAACATGATTTACAATGCAATCGGTACAACTAAAAACACTATTTTGCATATTTCTATACATTTAACTGCCCCATGATCTGGAACACAGCAGTGATTAAACAGTGAAGTGGTTAATTCAACCAGTTTGGAGTGTCAAGGTGCTATGTTATAAATTTTAATCTATTTAATTTGTTAAAATATTCAGTCAACATTTTAATCATGAAACCTTTTTTAATCAAGTTTTTCTTTGTTTTTTTTTTACAATAATGTCTTTACAAGTTTGCACACAAGCAGCTACACACCAGGTTTTGTAGGTTTATGTGTGTGTGTTGAATTACTGCCAGTAAGGGGGGGGGGGGGGGGGGGGGGGGTGAGCTAACGGGAAACTTCTGACACAATTAAGTATAAAGTGAGCAGCAACTGGAATTGACTTGAGGGTCAATATGCCAGTCGGGCTGTAAGGGAGAGCTTGACATTATGAAATGACATACAGCCACATGGTTCATACATGGTCAAATTCATTAGTGGATGTCCTTTTACATTTTACCGTGAAATTAAAGGGAACTTGCTGAAAGTAAATTTGTAATTAGGAATTGTTAGTGATCTGGGATACACAGTGAAATTATACCACATAATTTTACACACATACACACACACACACACACACACACACACACACACACACACACACAGCTTGATGCTTGGACAGTTACTAGTTGTTAACAAAACACTTTACGGATTGAAATTTTGTTCAAATTCTGTATTTGAAATTGGAGTAGCTGAGATACCTTTTTGTTTACATTTTTGTACCTCATAGCGTTAACCACAAAGGACAACTAACTGCTTAATAGTGACAATCGATGTGAATATGTAATCATTTAGGGGATGTTAACAACTGATTACACTTGGTGACTTTTAAGTCAAATTGTTTACAAAAATAATTAAATTTAAACTTTGGTAAATTGGTTCCATAGTCATTTTCTAAGTGATACTCTACCTACTACTAAAAAGAAACTAAAACATTTTGGAAAAGACATAAAATACACAATTACTGTACAAATCTGAATACCTAACACCCTATAAAACTAGGGCCATTTTCTATTAAATTAACTCAAACCATAATTATCTTATGCCAACAACTCAAAGGGGTCCACCTCTTGGGTGAACTAAATGTATTAAGATATTAAAAAACACTTTCTAGTTTGTAAGTATAATTACATAATCTGCATTAGTCACTTAACACAAACAGTTAGCATTCAGTTTCTTCATTATTGATCTAAGATAATACTTAATTCTGGACATCTACCAAAGAATTGGCTACCATTCAGTGGGAATAGGACGTTATTCGACACATATTTTTTCTCTATTTCACAATACATCCTAATGCTCCAACTTCATTAGTAACAGCTTGAAATTATCAAGAAAAGACTTTTCAGTCTCCCTGACTGGTAAAGAAAGTGACCTGGGAAGGCAAAGTTTGACAAATCAAATCACTATCAAACCAATTTCACCACATACAGTTGCAAATATGCAAAAGTTCTATACTTCATATTGAGAATTTAAATCAATAGTAAATGCTGAAACTTACCAAAGTGTTATAAAATGATCAAACAAATCACTGTTTGGCTCTAGTATTGGCATACATGTTTTCTACAAAACTATTGCACATAAAAATACAACCTCTCTCTCTCTCTCTCTCTCTCAACAATCACAACTGCCTTACTGCTCACATAAGTATGTGCAAACTAGTTCAACTCATTATAAAGATAAGAAAATCAACCTAATAAGAGAAATTATCATTTCAATTAGCATGATTATATTTATCAAAGTTATTAAAGAAACTGCATTATGTGCTATGGGAGTCAGCCCAGTTAATCAGCTGTTAAAAAAAAAAAAATCATCCAGCCATTCATCCGCCCTTTCAACAAAAGAAAACTAAAAGTTGAGTCTGAAAGACCCAAAGCCATATATGTGCCTTTGATGTTGCTTTTAGATATGAATCTTTTTATTTTACGTCAAAATGCACAAATATGGTTATTTCCTCCGAAATGATTAATCCTAGTGCATAGACCCGGCAAGACGGCTTCTTAAGAAGTGACTACTGCACAGATTCACAGACGTACGTGTAGAAACTGCAATTGCGCAACGTACAGCGAGTGCAGACATGTCAGGGTGAGAAAGGCATCAATTCTGCCTCCATCGCCTGACAGCGGGCTGAGCAGGGCTAAGTGAGATCAGCTTGATTAGGGTGGAACTGATAGGTGAAAAGTGAAACAGGGTAAGGAAAATTCACAGGTCCCTTGTGGGATAAATTATGACAAACAGCTTACAAACAGTTTGTTACTGCATATGATAACTTGACAGAAAATAAAGATTTTTACGTCCATCTACCAGTTTATAAGCAGCGCCTGGCTGCAAGGAGAATCTGTTGAAAAGTGCTCTTGTCTGAAATGGATAGGCTCCTCCAAGCCCACACTCCTCCATCCCATGCTGTAGCTTCTGCTCTTGTTGCATTACTCCTGCCCAAAACCTTCTGTCTCCTCTATGGCGAACATGAGCTTCTCCTTCAGCTGCTCATAGCTCTTGTAAGGAGGGAGGTCCAGACGATTAAAGCTACATGGTGAAAAAAAGAGAAACTAAATGACTCTCATATTGGATATAATGTGTAATGTCCAACATTCTTACTCTGTATTTCTTAACAAACACAAGGGACAAAAACTAATAAAAATTTTCATTCTCATTAAAACAGATTTTGACATAACTGCTGAAGCCTGAAGACTTAGAAGGAGAATAACTGGTCTTACCATGTGTGGCTTCGTGGAAGCCAGTTCTCTTTGCCCACTTTCTCAATGCAGAACTTTTGGGGGCCATTGCTTCCTATATTAATCAATAACAAGCATAAAGATAATTTAATTAAGAACACAATTATGATGTGACAGACATACATAATGTGTTGTTGTGTGTGTATGTGTCTATTTGCATACCCATCAGGTCAGTGAAGCCACCCACAGGAAGACGACAGGTTCCTGTTACAAATTGCAGCAGCCTCATCCTCTTCTCGTTGTCCATCTCCTTCACAAACTGTCAACAAATCATTCTGTGTTAATAGCGCTAAGCAGATCCAGTAAACTTTTATTCATGATCAAAGGAAATCTTAGTAATATACACTGCTCAAAAAAATAAAAGGGAACACTTAATCATCACAGTATCACATCAAGTCAATTAAACCTCAGGAATATCAAGGGCTTGTGAATCAATGTCACCTGTTTTGGGGCAAATGAAAGTGACAACAGGTGCACTGGAGAGGCAACAGCAAGACAATGCCCAAAAAAGGGAACGCTTAGCAGGTGGTGGCCACAGACAACTGCTCTCTCCTTATCCATCCTGACTGTAGTTTTGAGTTTTGCTAGTGTCCTTGTCACCTTTGGCAGCATGAGGCGGTACCTGCAGCCCATTCAGGTTGCACAGGTAGTCCAGCTCCTCCAGGATGGTACATCCATACGTGCTGTTTGGTTTGCTGTGTCTCCCAGCACAGTCTCAAGACCATGGAGAGGACACCAGGAGACGGGCCGTTACACAAGGACTTGATTTAGGTGTTCCCTTAATTCTTTTGAGCAGCGTATAATACTCCTGAACTCCCACGTTTTTTCTTTGCTTTGTTAAGCGTTTTGACCCAGTGAAGACATACTGTCTCTAAAACAACAACAAAAGGTGATGCAATCATCAAGAAAGTTATGAACTGAAGGAAATTAAATCCTATGACTGAAAACATACACCTGCACTGCTGTTGTATGCATATTAATCTACTATATTAAGTAGAGCACAGCACAGAGTTTGAATTAGGGCTGCATGATTTGGAGAAAAGGTTATATTGCAATTTTTGTGGACAATATTGCGATTAGATTATAATGGAACAAATGGTACTCTGAGTCTACTTGCTTGACTGTCAAGGAAAATGCACAAAATACTGACATTTTGAAATGTTTTTTTCTCAACTTGAACACAGTTAAACAATATTTATAATAATAACTTTAGTAAAACAGACGTAAAACAGAACAAGGGGTGCATGTTGCTCTACAAAGGAGATGGCTAAAAGGACACATGGCACACTGGCATACTGGATCTAAATCTACATCAGTCCACTGCAGAGGCTCTAACCGCAACCTGGAAGAGCAACTAGTGTAAATGAGTGTATTAAGGATGCGAGAACACACTATTTTTCTGAACTCATTACTACACATAAACACAATCCCAGGTTTCTATTTAAGACTGTGGATCAGCTGGTAAACCCAACCCCACCTTGTGCCTCAGCTGGAAGTAACGATGACTGTGAATTGTTATCTTATTTTACCAATAAGGTGGTGTCAACAGAGCCTCTATTACCCCCGCAGCCTCTTACTCAGAGGTCCCTCACCAGCAACAAGAGAGTTTTAACCAGTTTTATCCCATCGACTTGTCTGAGCTTTTAAAAACAGTATCACAAATGAGAGTGTACTCCAGCCCACTTGATGTAATACCTACAAAGTTTTTACAGAAAGTAATAGATTCTGTTGGTACTCCTGGACCTTAGCGCTGCTTTTTACACCATTGATCACAACAATATGTTAGACAGACTGAGGCACTGGGTGGGGATCTCTGGTACTGCCCTAGAATGGTTTTCATCCTACTTGTCAAATAGGAAGTTTTGCGTGTCTGTAAACAACTATGTCTCCTCGTTCTGTCCAGTTAAATATGGTGTGCCTCAGGGGTCGGTCTTAGGACCCATTTTGTTTTCCATATTATCCATACACATGGCATTTCTTTTCATATTTATGCTGATGACACACAAATATACTTGCTTGTCAGATCCACAGACCCTGGAATGCTGAGTTCACTTAACAACTGCCTTTGTGAAGTTAAAAAATGGATGTCAAATAATTTCCTCCAGCTGAACTCAGACAAAACAGAAATCCTGGTCATCGGGTCCCAGCAGATGGCAAATCAATTATAGCAAAAATTCGATCTATGTTAACTTTTAAGGACACCGAGACCATTTTACACGCCTTCATCTCATCACGCCTGGATTATTGCAACAGCCTTTTCACCTGTTTAACCCAAAAATCTATTGATCGACTCCAGACTGTCCAGAACTCAGCTGCCAGGCTTTTAACCAGAACAAAGAATTATGACCACATTACTCCTATTTTAGCTTCATTACACTGGCTCCCAGTATGTTTTAGAACTGACTTTAAAATTCTATTGATCACTTTTAAAGCTCTTCATGGCCTCTCGCCTTGTTATATTTCTGACCTTTTAGTCCCATACACACCAGCACGTACCTTGAGATCCTCGGGCAGAGGTCTGTTGTCTGTTCCAGAGTCTCGACTGAAAACAAAAGGGGACAGAGCGTTTGCTGTCAGGGCCCCGAGGCTCTGGAACAGCCTGCCCGAGGAAATCAGGTCGGCTGAGTCAGTGAACTCTTTTAAGTCCCTTCTTAAAACATACTTTTATAGGAGAGCCTTTCCCGATCTTATTTGATTTTATCCCTTTTATTTTTATTGTATTTTACTAATTTTATATTTATCTGTATTTCAGTCTTTTCAATGTTTTCTTGCTTTTATCTTTTATTGTTTTTGTATTATTGTCTCTTGGGTATTATTGTCTTTACACTTGTTAAAGCACTTTGTAACTTGTTTTTGAAAAGTGCTCTACAATTAAAGATTATTATTATTTATTATTATTAGTAGTATATTATAACATTAAATAAAGAGTATAATGTTCAGTTAATAGTATACCATTAGTATAATCTTAATATATTCATTACTAAATTCATTATAATTTCATATAATAGTATAGTATTTTACCACTAGTACTGAATATTAAATCCGGTTATGGATGTGTCTTTTCTGTGAGTTGTTTTTATTTATTCAATCCTTGTGCAAGCAAAATTATTAATATATATTAATATTCTTTAAAATATAACATTAACATTATAACATTACTGTAACTGTCTCTGTCATGTTAGGTTATTGTCTTTAACGTTACTCGCTCACTGCCCATAAATAGTTTTTATGTGGTTTGTACTTATCTGTTTTAGGGGCACATGCGAGAGCCCAGTGTGAGCGGAGATAATGAGCAGACTGCAGTGAAAACTGAGAGGAGAGTCTCAACACACACAACACTTGAATCGCACACTTTTTGCAGACATGACGACATCGCGATTGCAATTAGATTAATCGTGCAGCCCTAGTTTGGATGCATGAGAAATGGTGTTTTCAACAGACTGAACAGTACAGTCCAAGTATGCAACTGTTTAGTACTGACCTGCCAGAACCAGAGGATCTGTTTGCTACTTCGGGCGTAATGCCTGTAGATTGTGTTCCTCTGCCAGTCCACCAAGTCTATCTCCTGCATCCCACACAGCATCACCTACAGGCAAGAAGGAAACCTTCTATTAGACCTTCTATTTTTTGGTAAAGGTTGAAAGGAATAGGTTTAGTTACTTCAGTACCTCTAATTCCTTAGCATCAAAGTATTGAAGGTATTGCTGAGGCAAAACTTCATTGAAGCCCTCAAAGAATGCTTGAGTCTGCTCCTCCACACCTCTGGACAGCCTCCACTCTGCCACCAACCTGCATATGGTGATATGAAGATAAACATATTGAAATAAAATCAAGCATACTGAAGGCGTGAAGATTTATGGTTGCTTTAACAATTAAGAAGTTAACTTTCTATATAATCATCAAACAAAAACTGCAATACCTCATCTTAAATTTGAAGTACCATAATAATATCCATTAATTCTACTTTAAATTAAATTCTACTGTTCTGTATACACAATGCAGTTAGTTTATTAATGGCCATTATCTCTGCATTGCTTATGTTACATTACAGGAAAGACCGTGGGAAATATCAGTCTGTTAAACTGTTGCACTTATTGCATGTTAGCCTGGATAAGACCACGACTGAGGTGTGTAATCTTTTAGATATAAAGTGAAATGTAAATATGGTGGTTAAAGACAGATGGTGGATGAGAGGCAGTAGAAGATGCAGCTGTACCTGATGTATTCCTCCTTATTTTCCTCAGTTACTTGGATGTTCCCTCCATCTGGTTTCAGCTCATGGGTGGTGACCTCCCCCAGAATCTCCTTGTCAACTGAGAAGAACATCTCCAGGCCGCACTCTTCTATGTTATTATCCCTGCGGGCCAGAGAGTCATCATCGTTATTAACATGGTTAAAATAACAGCACTGGAAAGCAATCAGAGAGCACAGATGCCCACCAGGCTACACACACGTCTAAGGCCTTTTCATCAAAAACAGACAATTTCAGGAAATTACTCTGGATCTGCATCACGACACAAACGGAACAGGGATAGATAGTGGAAACATTAAACTGAATTAGATACATGACGACTGAAATCACTTGCCATTATTACTGTATATACACCATCATCTAAATTTGTTTCCAATTTTTCCCCCAGTATTATTCAAACATGTTATGTACCATACAGGGTAATTGGATGAAATTTGAATGAAGAGAGATGGAAATTTAAAATAATCATATGTGGAGCTAAACACCCCACAAAAAAAAAGATAAAGGCAATAAATGGCCATCATCATCTATTTTTCTTGTATTTCAATTTACTTCCTTTCCAAGAACTGTGTATATACATGGCAATTTTAGAAATTGACAATGCGCATTGTCAGCTGAATTCAGAATGTTTTTAGCTCCATTTTAAAGTAATGCTTATGCCCAAGTCACAAATGAGCCTGTATGTATGAAACATTGAAATAGCATTCACCATTTGCACACAGAGCTTAAGTGCTCAAACAGAAACTAACATTCACACACTAGTGGAACAGCTACCAGGAGCAATTCAGGGTTCAGTATCTTGCCCAAGGACTCTTCGACATGCAGCCTGGAGGAGCCGATTGAACCGATGATTTTTTATTTTTTTTTTGACAGGAGAACAAGTATTACAAGGGCCCCAGATTTGTACAGATCATGGATCAACTATGATCCGTTAACCATTAGTGTCTCCATTTAATGACAGCAAGGCTATTTTAAGTGACATAAATATTTTGCCTGTCCATCGAATCAAGCAAACTCTCCCCATTATCACTATATTACGCACATGTAGATCAGCTACCCACCCACCAGGTCACACATTAAGGTTTGCATCCCCCAGACCTACTTGATCCAGATGAGTGAGTTGTAAAACTCTGGATCTATGGACTCCAGGTCTTTGAGAGCCAGAGGTTTGTTCAGAATACGCTTGTAGAAGGGGAGGGAGAAACCCGTGTCGATGAATTTGCCATGGAACAAGGCCTAGGAAGGAACACACAGATGAAAAAATGTATTAAAAATGCCATCATTTAAAAACTGATGTCACACTAAGTAAACTAAGTAATTGTGTTGACAAATAGTGCATGTACCATGGCAATGAAGCGTCCTATGAACTTGAAGTACTTAAGGTGATCAGGGTTGATGTAGGAGGCAGGGTTGATCTGCAGACAGTAGTTGTCCTTGCCAGCATACTCAAACAAACAGTACATGGGGTTCAGTACCTCATGAGAGAGCAAGAAGAACCATTCCCTGGAAACGCAACCACAGGAGACAAAAAAACCCAAACAATTAAATCAAAGTAGTCATACTGGTTTAGGGACAAGTTTTGCCTTTAGTAAGGTAAAGGAGGTGTCCAAAAGCCTACAAATTAAAACAAAACACACCTTATGAGTCATACAATAAAATGTACAAAAACAAATCATGTGATAAAAATTACCTGGCTACACCTCCATAGTCCAAGCCTTCCTCTCCAGGAAAAATGAGCCACAGTCTTCGCCTCAGATCTTGTGGTTGGAAGCTCATGATCTTTGAATATAAACAAAGAAATAAACAGCTACACGCCTCGAACACTGACGAGACAAAACTGCCAGAGAAGTGACAAAAATATCATTCGGTATATTGACATTATCACCTGTTGGAATGAATCCTCAAACAAAGTTTTGCGGGAGACGGTGATCTTAATGTGCTGAGGCATCGACAATTGCTGAGCGGGAGAAAAAAAACAACAATAAGAACTATACAAATACATTTTAGACCATTTCAATGCTTTGTACACCAGTGAACATTAACTTTTATCTTTGCACATTCAAGTACTAGAGACATGAGTGCCTACAGTGAAGCAGCATGAAGATAAAGAAAGATCCAACAATCACCTTGTTGATTTTATTATGTTAGATAAAGCATTTCAACACATGTTGTGCAGCACATACCTGACACCAGAATCTGAAGTATTGCACTTTGGCTTTGAAGTCCCTGACATAGGTTATCTGTGGCCCATTCTCGCTGTAGAAAGAAGAACCATTTTCAATGTCCAATCGACGAGCACATTCAGTTAATGTATGCACATGTTGTGTAAAAAGGCAGATGATTTAAAGTCATGTTCCTCCTGTAAGAGGTGCATTTAACTTGAGCACGTTAACGTTGACCTTTAAATAAGAACTTACAGTGAGGATTTCCCTGTGCGAGGGTCAATGTAGGTTGTGGTTCGCCTGTTGTGGTCTACAAAGTAGGGAATACCATCCACAGTGAACCTCATCTCCCAACCCTCTGGCAGGGGCTTGTCATTCAGCAGCCTGAACAACACAAATCCACACGAAAATACATCAAACCATTTGTTTCAGAAAGTGTATACACACATACAAAAAAATTACATTGCAAGTGGAATTGGAGAAAGAGAAAATGAGCATCAATAACCAGGACATATTAACAAGAGCATAAATGATTTATGTCCACATCAAAACAGCAGATATTACAATATATGCTTTTTTTACGTACTCCTCAGAATATTAATTGATTGCCCTGAAAGAGAATCTTCACATTGAGGTTTTCTTTATTTAAAACAGTCACAGGATATTTGACTGATATTCAGATATATCTTCAGAATTTTATTATTATTCAATATGTTTAATTAAAATAATTTAGTGGCTAGTCACTGTTTATTCTTTTGAAAACAGAATACATAAGTATGGAATACTCAAATTTACATCTTAATATTATAGGTCAAAAAAACAGGAACATAACCCAGGACAGTTTTAAAAAACCTGCACTTAACATATAAAATCATGGCTTGCTTTGTACTGCTTCAGTCATTGACTAGTGGCAGTAAACAGTGTTTAATCAGATGCTCTTTCATTCGCCTCATCAGTAGCAGTTCATGGTTCAACGGTTCAGTGCAGGCACAGTTTAGGGCAATTATCCCCTACTAAAACTGTTTAAATCCAATCAATATATTTGAAAACTCTTCTGGTTATGTTAAACATTCTACATTCTTTACTTCCCCTCCTAGATTATTTGCATGTGTCCTGTGATTATATGTAGCTCTGCTAAATTCCTGAAGCAGATAGAAGCCATTTCCTACTTTGAGAAGGTTATTAATTGCATTTATTCATAAGCCTAAAAAAAAGGACCAAATATGTGTCACTCAATTCTTAATACTTCACTCTTTGCACCAGATAGGACTGATTTCCTATTCTGAAGTGTTTTGGAAATACTGGAGCTTAGCAAGTTGCTGATACCTTAGCGCCTCTTACAGACTCTAAAACAGAAGTGCAGCTGAGTTAGGCAGAATCATTTAAAACCAGTATGATAAAATGACAGCATCGAGATACACAGGCATACACTCACCCTTGCGTCCTGGGGTCTTCCCACTGTGTTGTCCGAGTAGGGTGATGAACAAAATACACTCTGCCGTTGGTGTCTGTTCTCTTCTCTGACATGAAAAACAAAAAAAATTTATATGTAATTTAGTATCAATTCACTGACATTTATTGCTACTAATATTAGAGCCGTAGTCCTTTCAGTAACAAATTCTAAAATAAATGCTCAGTGATATTTACCCCAACCATGTGGCAAAGGTCCCAGCGGGTCAAACTCTTTATTGGCCGTGGCTGCCAGCTGGTCTTGGAGCTGAGCCAGAGAGAGAATGGGACACATGTTGACAAAGTCTCAAAAAAACAACTAAAAGCCACATCCACACTATCAAGTTTTGAAACCAAACAATCTCCGTCCACACCAGCATTTTAGCTGCATTTGAGAACTGATCTCTGTCTATATTAAAACAACTGAAAGAGCACATCTAGTGGCCATTCAAGTACACTGGACATGCGCATGCCGGTGTAAACAGGAAGCAGGAAAACAGTAGGTGAAAGAAAAAAGTAATACTATATAATACTATAGCTATCCATTATTATGATCATACAGAGTAATGCACGGTCAACTTCATTATTCACCTATTTCAGACCTGAGAGCCAAATTAAATTTTTTAAAGTCTGAGAAGTAGTATAGATTTAGAACATTTGAAATGAGAAAAGAAATGGCAAAGACTGGGACAGTTTAACACCTATGTTTCCTATGCTAGGAAATCCTCAAGGTGGTTATGGCTTTATTTTATTTTTATTTTGAGATGATTTAAAGAATTTTGGGGAGCAAGCCAAAAATGTTGAAAACCAACATCATTTGACACTAAAAGGCAGTTTTGACATACATCTGCTAAAGGTGGAAGTTTGTCTAAGCTCACTCTTGTTTAACACACAGATGTACAAACTTGATTTTGTGACATCACTAAATCCACTAGCTAGCTAGCTTGGAAGCCAATCATGTCCAGTATGCAATTTGATGTTGTGTGTGATGTGAAAACCTTCATTGCTCACACACACAGAATGGAGTTGAACATGTGTCTTATCCACTGTTCAATCACCACCCCAAACCGTGGATTTCAAAGTGTGCTACATGTGCAGTGAATGTAACAAATCCAGTTACCAAGACAATGACCGCTCTCACCCCATAAATGAACCTCTGGTTAAACTGCTGCATGGCTCCCTGCAGCTGGCTGCGCTGGTGCTGCCATTCCTCATAGTTCCGCACTGACTCCTGCGTGGGGCGTTGCCATGTAGTAGTTCGGGTTATGTGATCGACATAGTACACCCTACCCATCGGATCCACCCTGCGCTCCCACCTATGGGAGGGTAAAAGAAGGTAGTGCTGAGTTGACAAATGACAGACACCTGACATCCATATGAATAGCACAAGACCAGACTTTAATGTCACATGGTTTGCACATGCTGACCAATTCTGGGGGGAGCCATTGTAATAGGCTGTAAACACACTCGAAGCAAGCAGAAGGGAAGCTTAAGTGAGGCCTGTACCTGAGGGACAACCCAGTGGGTAGAGTGCTTATTGGTTGTCAAGCTTATCAAAGCCCAAATAAACGATTTCATAGCAAACACAGGCAGAAATGACCTCTGACACAACAAGTGTAGTGACAATGAAGGCCAAGTGACAGATGTGCCTCAAGGGTCCACCTGACATCCATATCAATACCAGAGACACAAGTTGTTTTGATCTGTTCTATTATTTTAACTACATCACCAATATTACATTTATAAACAACATGTGAACAAAAGAGCGCAGCTCTACAGTGATTGTAAAAGTGGTCATAATGGTCTGTTCTATCTGGGATCACGTTTATGGTATCGTGACTGCACAGTCCAAGAGAGCAAAGCAACAAACATGTTAGTATTCATAGTATAAAAGATAATCAAGTATTTTGGTACCCTGTAGGAAGAGGTTCAGGCCTGTCCCAGGTTGTCCTTTTCTCAATGTGATCCACATAGTACACCCGTCCGTTCTGGTCCACCCTTTGCTCCCACCTGCAGAGAGAATGACTGAATGAATGAAGGCTTTATTTCGAACATGTAAAGAAAAAAAAAAAACAATCATAATAATACAGTAAAAGCTAATAGAGAATTAACTTAACATGTCTGAAATGGAATAGAATTTTCGCAATATTGCGAAAATTAGAAACCTTCTGTATCAAGATGATGCAGAGAAACTTGTCCATGCATTTGTTACCTCAAGTCTTGACTACTGTAATTCTGTGCTTTCAGGCTGCTCAAAAAAAAAATCTCTTAAGTCTCTCCAGTTAATACAAAATGCTGCTGCACACATACTGACTAGAACCAGCAGGAGAGATCATATCACCCGTTTTAGTAACTTTGCACTGGCTCCCGGTAAAATTACATTATATACAAAGCCCTTAATGGTCAGGCACCATCTTATTTGACAGAACTCCTTACACCATATTGGCCTACGAGAACACTGCACACTCAAAATGCAGGGCTACTTACAGTGCCAAGGGTCTCAAGATACAGATTTGGAGCCAGAGCCTATAGTTTGTGTATTTTATTGTTGTTTTTTAATGTGTATGTGTTGTCAGCCTTTTTTTTTTTTATCCAATTCTGCAATCTTTACGTGTCTCTGTTTTCTGTAAAGTGTACTGGGACCACAGCTGGTGATTTTACACTTTAAATAAATTTGACTTGACTTGGAAGAGCATAAACTTATTTAATCCTACCTCTTCTACACTACTCAATAATTTACACTTTGCTAAACATATTTACATCAAAAACGAAAATGAAACATACATATTTATATGTATATATCCACCATAAAAAATAAATAATATAAATAAACAAGGGAAATAAATAATTTGTGAGAACATCTGGTCAAAACCCTTCTTCCTCCCTGTACCTTGTAAAAACCATATAATACAAATGAGTGAGCAAAGACGAAGCACAAGAAACAGGATTCAGATGGAGGTCAGCTGCAGAGCAAATTGTCAGTGAAAACCTATAATTCTTTAAAATACCTAAAACATTGCTAAATAATACAATAACAAAACACGTACAAATATTTAAGTCTGCATTAAGGCTTTCTAAGGCTGCTGTGCCTATTAATCGTGGCCACAACGAAGACTTGTTGAATTAAGTTACCCTGGTGGTAAGAGACTGTTGTTCATGGGTGTGACTCTGGGATTTGTTGTGGGCAGAGCTGCTGAGGCAGAAGTCTCTGGTTTCGGGCCACTTGCAGTCTGTGAAGAACCTGCTGTCGCTGCTCCTGCACCTGAGTCATCCTGCTGATTTGAACACCCACTAGCCGACGCCTGAGAAGAGCCATCGGAAGCTGGACCTTCACTCAGCTCACTGGGGGAGGAACTGCTAGAAGAGGCTGGGGAGAGGAGTGGTGAGGACGCCAGAGAAGATAACCTTTTAGTCTTTGAATGAATGTGCAGAGGTGTATTTGCTTTGATTGCAGTGATTACACATATGCACGCAACATTTTTATATGTGAGAACGACTGGTATGTCAAATTCATGTGAGCTAATGTTATATTGTAGAGTATTTTATGTCTAGTGCTTTTCCTACTTGGTGAGGCTGCTGGTCTGCGAGGCGTGGCAGGAGGAGGTCGGGCTGGTCTGGGGGGACGGGAAGCGTTGGGGCCTCCTGGAGATTGGGAAGGAGAACCCGTACCATTGACAGCGTGACCATTAGGTACTATAACCCAATCTTCTGAGTCACTGGATGGAGATGTGTCTCTGCTTGACCTGGGAAATCAAGATATTTACTTAAGTTATTATACAGGTATACAATGACTGAAACACAAATTTCATGTATATAGAAAATATAAAATAAAGGTTTACTAAACCTGTTGCCAGTGTCTCCATTTTGTCTTGTATTTCCATTTGGAACAGTAGCTAGAAGGACAGAGAAAAAGCAGAGAAGTAACTATTTATGTGAAATAATAACAGATGTTACTGCAACAGTACAGCTTGGTATTTACTCAATATTAAAGAAGAGCCAAACGGACACTGGATTTTTATTTTATTATTTTTGCCATTTCTGCACTACAATTTCTTGTTACTCAACAGCTGACATCCACTGATCTTTATAGTTCTGTTATAAGTTAAGTTGGCTGAAGTATCAGACAGGCTCTATAAGTATATAAATTCATTGTTATTCATGTTCTCAAATACTGTGGTCGACCTAGAATAGTGGGTTTGTGTCTGTGGGTGGTTTCTTACAATGTTCTTTCTCTGCTGAGGCGAAGGTTTCTGGGTCTACCTGCATGCCATCCAGACAGACCGACAGGTCACCTACAACATCCTGGTGCTCTCTGTCAGAGCACAGCTGCAGTGTCTGCACCACCTCATATACTGGGGAGGGCACAGAATACAGTGTTAAACAGGTGCTTAGACTGACAACACACCCCAGGTAAACTCATGACACAAACACACACATTGACCCATCACAACAAAATTAAATCATATGATGCTAAGGCTGCACCACAATAGTAGAAATTACTGTACATACTTGAAAAATCTGACAGTCAAATTAAGAGACATTTTCCTTTGGAGGGGCCACCTCACTGGCCCTTGATAATCACCTCAATCTCAAGGTATTTTGTTACTGGTTTCAGCCCTGCTAGTGAGAGTATGGGGCTCTAAAGATTGCAGTGACAGCTCAAACCACTTGCTGGTAAGGTTTCTAGAGCCTTGTTCACAATTGGCAAATGAAAAGCAAGTATCTGTACAGAATACAGACCAGACATGTTGGTTGGTGAAGTTTAACAAAACCCAATTAAACATTTTCATAACAAACAAAGGCAGATACAACAAGTGCGTACAGTGTTTACGGTGTGTGCACCATTTGCAAAATTTGCTGGCACAGTCACAGAAAATTAATACTAAAATTGATGGGAAATACATGGGATACTACTTGTTATTATTTTGAAATAAATCAGTCATGTGGTGGAAACTTTATCCTGAATACCTCACGCTATTCTGTGGGAATCAACCCAAGTTCCACAGAGCCTAGAAATATTAGCTCCATACTTTGTTCCTTGGAAAACACATATTTTCCATATTCAAGGATGAAATGACAAATAAGAGAGTGCAACTCTACCAAATAGCCAGGTGATATAACATGATCACAGTTGTCTTGTGCCAAAAAATGGAAAAGTGAGAGGAACGTTTGCGATTTGATATTTTTGCTTGGCCTTTTGAAAGAAAACACAAAGTGAACAATAGTGTGAACTTACGCTTCAAGTCGTTAGCCCTAAGGGTCTCACTGATATCCAGTGTGGCCATTCCCAACAGAATGTCAGCTTTCAGTGTCTGGTGGCTCCAAACACGAAAGATCAGCTTGCTTACTGGAGTCACAATTCTGTGGAAAAGTAAGACGATTACAAGATACGAGTTAACACCAAAAAGATTATGGATGATGCACTAATGCTGAAAAGATTCATAGGCTATGGCTTCTTAACCTTGCTTGTCTGTCTTATTTTTGTTATACAATTCCATCATTAAAGCCATTTATTGAGTATCAATTCCTAACATTTGCTGGTTAAAAAGGTTTTGGTTGCCTAACGCTTTTAATCAGTCTCTGTGGGATGATATCACTATAGCCTTCAAGAATTTATCCGTATCACCGCAGCAAACATTAAGCAGCCTATAAAACAGTCTGTGGAATTTCCTACAGATGGTGATGCCATTTTCCAAGATAGCTGATTGGTCAGTAGCGGAGTTTTCATAGAGTTGATCTCTTATCTGGAACATAACCTGCTTCGGAGCAGGTTAGCCGTTCAGTGTAAGTTTCCATGGCGATCTACCCCGGTAAGAAGTAAACCACCTTCGTGGTACTGAAAACCCAGGGTTAACTCCGTAGTTACATGGATAAGCTCAAATCCTGCTTCGTGGTACGTAGTGCCCAGAAAACCTAGGGTGACCAGACGTCCCAAAAAATCCGGGACAGTCCTGAATTACGAGTAGTTGTCACGACTGCAGTCCGGTTTGTCCCGAAAGTTAGACCTAAAATGAGTTTTGATTATAGCCTAATTAAACATTTAATACTGATCGTTATAGCTCACTTGCTCCAGCAGGGGTTGCAGGTTATCTGTACATTGTGTCAACAGCGTTGTTATAGCCACAAAGTAAAACTTGCGCTCTTTCCCCATTTTTGTTTTCTTGTGGTTAGTGGCAGTTACAGTCGCGAGGACAGGGAAAGTGTAGCTTCAGGCAGCCACAGCACAGCAGAGAGATCTCACACGCACGTTGAATGAATATATGAATATAATAAAAATTAGGTAAAAGATCATGATTTACCTACATATCCACAGTTGTTGTCTTTTTCCTAATGACAGACAGGTGGCTTCATGAACAAAAATAATTAATTTTAGCGTTGTGTTTTGATTTTCACGTGTGTTAATGTTCATTGACACTCAATGTACCAGATGTTTGGACCATACCCTCAAAATACTTGATCATAAACAAACCTCGAGACGTCTGTTTCAAACTTCTACATCGATGCTACCCAACAAAACATTATTTGCAAAGACTAAGAAATGACACTGACATTAACTGCTCTTTCTGTGGACTTCATTGTGAAGCAACCATACACTTATTTTGGAGCTGCCCTTGTACTGTTATTTTTTTGAAAGACTGCACAATATATCAGCTGTAACATTTCTGCCCATTTTTCTCTGCTATACAAAGATGTGCTGCTTGGTTTTTATGATGTCTGCAAAACAAAAACAATATTATCTCATAAATCTCTTCATTATTGTAGCAAAATTCCACATTCACAAAAGTAATTTTTGTAACCGCAAACCTTTTATTATTTATGAGCGAATTGCACCAATACATACAAACTATTCAGCACTCTTCAAACCCCAAAGCCTTAAAGACTCTCAATATATGTAAACTTAATTGCCTGAACTGCTGACTATTTTTTTTATTTTTTATTTTATTTCATTTATATGTAGGGCTGAAACGATTCATTGATTAAATCGATTAATAAAATGCATCGAAGCAAATTCAAATTCCAAAGTATGGGATTATTTCAAGTTAAAGAAAACAACAACTCTGTAATGTTACCGTCCGTCCACCGTAAAACGAAATTTATGTCGCCTCGGCAACAGCACGACGGCACCTGATCAGAAAGCACCCGGTGTTCTGCCAGCGGACCACAGAAAAGGTAACAGTAACAGCAACTTTAGCATTTAATTGAAATCATGATTGATGATGAAAGCTAGCCAAAGTAAGCCGCAGTCCTCAGCTGAAAATGTACACGTGCATTTGTTGTTCTCTTTTGGGCCGTGAGTTTTAACCTCACAGTCATTCGTTAACTGGGTGTCAGGAAGCTGCACAGTTTAACTCACCTTCAGCTCTCTCCGTAGCTCAGACAATCCCTGCTACCTGCGTGTGCTAATCCATCCTTACACCCATATTCTTTGTCTTTATAATTGCTATCTTTATAATAACAGCTGTTTCGTGTTCTGGATCACTCATTTCACGTTTCATATTTCACCAGTGTTTTCTAGACAAAACGTCCCTCTCTAACATCAAGAAGCTCTTGAAAACTCATCTCTTCTGAGAACACTTCCTCTTATAACACCTCTAACTCCTAACCCCTAACATGCACTTCCTGTGCTCTTCTTCTTCTATCACCTACAATGATCTTGTTTTGATTGCACTATTTGTTAACTCTTACTTCCTTCCCTAGGTATTTACCCCATTGATGTAATATGTACTATGAACTCTTACTAGTATTTATTGCTGCTCTTACTAGTATGTATTGTCAGTTGATCTGTATTTGATGTTCTGTTGATGCTTGTATGTTGAAAAATCCTGACAAAGGCTGTCATAATTCATGCATGAAAGGGATAAGTTTATGTTCTGCTTGCTCAACAGTTGTTTGATAAATGGCTATTAAAACACATTTGGAGAATTATTGTAATTATTTTGGCGCTGGTATTTTTCCTTTGCTGCTCGCTAAAACCACATTGAGGGGCACCAAAAGTTACTCTATGCAGGAAAAATCCTGACAATGTTGTATGTAAGCTAAATTTAGTTCTAATTAATATTTCTATTATAAACAAGCACATCATCTCATAATTAATCAACTATTTTTTAAACTGCTTCTTCTCCTATGAGAACAGAACAGTCATACTCACATTGTGAGCGCCTGCTTCCATTTGGGACTGTGCGTATTGGTGCACTTCTCAGTCCTCTTTGATTGGCCATCCACGGCTACTTCAACATACGGACTGGGACCAAACCAGTTCTTTTTGTTTTCCTTCAGCTTGGCTGAAAGCACTAGAAATGATAAAACATGACAGTGAAGTTGCCAGTACTGTAAATTTCAGTAGATTTGATCAGTAGTAGTATTTGGTAAAAATGCTACAACTTGTTATTCCCATTAACTTTGGAAAATAAACCACCACTTCCTGTAGCAAAAACAGTGAGTGGCATTTTAGTTTTTACAACAGGAACTTGATGACTCATAGCCCGTAGCTTCCAATACCCAAAGTCAAGCAACACTGAACACTAAAACTTCATTAATTTACCATATCAGTGTCTAATTTTTGTTGATATAAGATCTTACAAATCTTGCAACAGTAACTTACCTGTGACTTGCAATTGGGCCTTCATGGTACATCCATAACACTGCAGCCTTGCTAGGCTGCACCAAAACGACCTGCAACAATTGCAACCAGTGGCATCAGATCAACATAAGACACTCTTAACTACTTAAAGAGTGATTAGGCTATTAGGTTGCTACAGTCAGTGGAAAGTATAACCTGACTTTACATACAATGGCACACATGGATTCAAGAGGGTATCTAACTAAAACAAACAACAACAAAGAACAAAAGGTGTATGTCTGACAGGGTCAGGTATCTGGAGACATTAAAAGAGTGTGTTAGTATTGATCCTAATTCAAATTAATAACCTTTTATCTATAACTTTTATCTCCACAATAAAGTTAAGCGAAATATTCAGGTGCTTTACAGTTTGATATTAATCTACATGAACTGGGCACACGTTTTAAAATAACTGATTGTATTTCATTATTACCTGAATATGTCTAACTTAACTTACAGTATTCATTGAAAACTCTATACAGTAACTCAGCGCAGTGTCGTTGTGTTCAGACATACAAACTGGACTAAAATGCACGTTACCCAGTGACTTGGTTTAATCTTAGCTATTTCAAGACAGGTATAGGCTACATAACGGGAAATCCTATCCTTAACTTGGCTAAATTAAGTCTCACTAACTTAAACCTATCCTACTTTGTCAATCTTTGACAATACCGTTTGACAGGACAAGAAGGTAATTTAAATGCTAGACAAGGGGGATGCATTAATATAATTGAACAAAAAGATGTTGAGCGCATCAAAAAATGCTTCCAAGGAGACGGCGTGTTTCCTGCTATCTGCAACATGAAGGCAGCAACGTACAACTGTAGCTTAATAGCTGTCAGGTTAGCAGGGGGTTAGCAGCCAGCAGGCGATTTGCTGTCAAGACAACTTAAAACACTTAGTATCTGTTTCTACTGTGACATTCCTAATATGTATTACTGTCTATAACGTAAATGCCTTTTGTGAATTACTAATAAAAACTGGGAAGTTCCACCAACTTATTTCGCCAACGTCCTGAACGTGAGGCTTTAGCTAACAATGCATTAACTAACGTTAGTAATGCTAACACCACCGGACTACTTGAGCAGCTTCGATCGCTCGAATCTCACACTTCTCATTCACTGAAACACAAAAAAAAACATACCTGATAGAAGCACACGATAAAAGGGCGACAGACTTTAGTTTCAGCTATGTCTAGATTGTTGACAGATAGCTGCCTTCCATCACCACACAGAGCTGAGTCCCGCTGGCCAGAACAAGACCAGAAATTCCGGTACGGGTTTTTCATAATAAAATTGTATCTGTACCAACCAGTCCGTACGGTACCCAAATGCTGGCCAATCTTTTTTGCTAAAAACTATAACCATTGTTGGGAAGGTGACTTTGTAAATGTAACAGGTTACCGATTATAAGTTACCCTATTTAAAATGAAATAGTAGTGTAACTACTTCAATTGCTATTTCATTGCTGCAAACTAATGGAACTTATCACATTAAATAACTTTTTTATGACTTTTCTAAATTGCTTTTTAACTGTTAACCATACAGCTTAAGAGGCAATTTAGATGGGTGGCGTTGCAAATTCAAAAATGATAATCAATCAAAGCATCAGAACAGCATCAAACTTTACTAAAAGGCTGTGGCTGGAAATGGCAATGGAAGACATTGTGCACATGAAAAACATGCAAAGCAACAAAATAACTGGCTTTTCACAGAAAATATTCAGATGTAACCCCTAACATAATCATGAACATTTTCATAAGTAACTGTAATTTAATTACACATTGTTCCCAGTAACTCAAACCAATTACATTTACATTGATTTTGTAATTAAATTATGCACCTAAATTACATGTAACTACTTCCTCCCCAACACTAACTATAACTATACATTAAATTGCAAAATGCATTCTACCCAATAATTAAACATGCAAGTTCAGTCTTGGTCTTGAAAAAAGTAGTTTGACCAAGTTTGACAAACATGTCCAACTTAAAGTCCACTTACTAGCACTCTGGAGCTTTCAACACAATCACAGGCTCTTCATTAGTGGGTGGAGTTTGCTTTGTTGACATGGAGATGGATCAGTCTTATTTGACTGTCTGTCTGACTTGCAAGCTCAGTAGCTGTTGACACAATTGTGGCCATGGCACTTTTAGGACTGTGATAAGGCCAGATACTACAGGTGTATAGGGTACACATTTTAAGTAATAGGTATCACCATGAAACATCCCTAGTTGATGGCTTACATTAAGACAGTTATTTTATAATTAAGTTTTCTGTTATGTTATGTTTAAATATGCAAATGAGGCATTATCTAATGCTAACTGTTGGTGAATTTATGTAAAATCTACAGATGGAAAGAGACAAAGTGTAGTAAAATAAACACGTAAATCTGTATTGGGGTGTTTTCTTTCAGAAGACATGCCCAAAATCTCAAAATTGACCAGTGAAAGAAAAACATTTTTGCCTGTTGTGTCTTTGTAGCTTAGCTGACACTTTTATCAAAAGTGACTTACTATTGCTATATATGTCAGAGGTTGCATGCCTGTGGAGCAACTAGGGGTTAAATGTCTTGCTCAGGGACACATTGGTGGATGTGTCACAGTGGGAGTCCTCCCACACAAAAGGCATGTGTCTTATGCACTGCGCATCAACACCCCATAATGTTTTCTGTTGTATCACTTAAATTAAGGATTTTAATGGAATTGCCATTTCTGTTGTGCAAGTCTGTCACCAGACTGTATGGTCTACAGTTCAGTACAGTTTGTCTTTTATTGCCACTGTACTCACAACACCAATAATAAAGCAGTTTGTCTTGCTACCTTTGTACCTGCTTTTGATGATTATTTCAATCTCTTCCCTTTCCTACAGGGTATTTTCGTGAATTTTGTTATTATATAATGTTATTTTATTCAAAGTTCGTGTATTTTGTACTATTTTTATTAGTAGTAGTAGTAGCAGTATTTTATTTATTTATTTATTATTTATACTTTTACTTTGAAGGCTAAAACCGTATGACGTTGAAACTGTTATTGACATCCCCATAAAAAAATATTAATTGAAACTAATCAAATAAAGAGCTCTCATGTGCCCTTAAATCACCATGCAATCTACTAGCTGGTTTGATTTCTACGCTGTGTGTTGCGTTAATTAATAAGACAACCAAATAAACATTGCACTGATGATGCTCAATGGCGCCACGATAGACGCCTTTCCGGGTACGCCCACTTTTTTCGTCATCGAGCTTGGTCTCGTGCGGCGCCGGTCTCGTGATAGCGGCTGTGTTGGTTAGCTGTTAGCATCTCCAACGTCTCGGTTTATAAAAGTCATGTCATTCAGGTTGCTAAAAGAAGAAAAAAAGCATTTGTGAATAAATCTCAACGACTACTAAAGATGTTGTCTCGTCTACTGAAGGAGCACCAGGCGAAGCAAAATGAGCGGAAGGAGCAGCAGGGTGAGAAGATGGTTTATTAGATATCGTGCTAACAGATGCTAAAAACAAAGCTGATTAGTTGTGCGAATGCCCCGTAGTGCACCATAGTAATTTCTAATTTGTTTGTCTGTGTTGGTGTTTTTATTTGTTCAGAGAGACGCAGGCGTGAAGCTATTACTGCAGCCACCTGTCTGACAGAAGCCCTGGTAGACCACCTCAATGTGGGGTATAAATATTCTTCTCCTTGCCCACTGCTGTTTTTATTTGTTACTTTTTTTGCTGCTGAGGCCCGTCGTTACATTGCACAGTTGTCAAGTAGTGGTGGTGGTAGGTGAGGATTTGGACATGGGAAGTATTGACTTCCTGGCAAAGTATTTTCTAAGTAATTTTGCCTTCTTAATCGCAAACACACCCAACAGAAGCCAGCACATATTTAGACAAACGTAACTATAAACTGCAATAGCCTGTACAGGTAGCTTTAATTATGTTATTTTGGGCTTTATTATAAAACGAGTGATTACTTTTCAAACTTGAAAACATATTAAACTCGATTGTTTATAAATCAATAATGATCAGCCAGAAAATTATTTCCACTATATATACAATGTCAGAAAACACTCACTTTTGAGAGGAAGGAACTGTAAATGTTTAGTATTTTTTCTTGATAAGTGACTTTAATTATAAATTGATTAGCAAAATTGTTGAAGATTATGTTTCAGTTGATTGAATAATGATTTTAGCACTGCATTCTTGGCAGGGCAGAATAGGCCTAATGTGTGACATGACCAAAAATAGTACATTATGATTGTTAACATTGTGAAATTTGTGATGAAACCAAGATAATCAGCTTAAGGAACAAGAGCAGGTTGCAAGGACCACTGTTGTGCTGTTCTGTTTATGAAAAAGATTATGGCTAAAATCCTTAAGTGACTCTGTAAGATTTATTCTAGAAAAGTACTGTATGTTTCTTCAGAGAGGAACGGAGAAATGAATGGCTTAGAATCAAATACAAATTCACACTCATGCCACAGTGGACATATAATACATAATGCTTTATCTTCATGAATTAACAATACTGTAACCTTCTCATTGTTGTTTCCTGTTTTACTTTAGAGTTGCCCAGGCATACGTAAACCAGCGTAAGCTCGACCATGAGGTGAAGACTCTTCAAGTGCAGGCGAGCCAGTTCTCCAAACAAACTGCTCAGTGGATCAGTATGGTGGAGGGTTTCAATCAGGCCCTAAAGGTAGGATCCACTGTACCAGCGAGAAATTAATCAAAAAACAAGGCTTTTCTGTAATGTACTCTGCTGGGGCGACTGCGGTCGTCCACTTATCAGAACGTCTGGGTTTTGATCTCCAGCTCCCCCAGTCTGCATGTTAAGTGTCCTTCGGCAGTGAGTTTGTGGTGAGCAGTTGGCACCTTGGCCTCTGTTTGTCAGTGTATGAATGTGTGTGAATGGAGTGAATGTGATGTTTTTTGAGTGGTCGTAAAGACTAGAAAAGCACTATAAGGAGACAGGCCATGCATCAGATACAATATAAACTTTGTTAAATTGTTTACTTTCATAAGCCTACGGCTATCAAAACAATAAGTGCCCTTACTTTTTATTGCAATATGCAAAGTTGAATTCTATAAAAAAAAAAAAAGGTCCTGTATATAGGTAGGTAGGTACATTTATTAGCACAATATAACAGGTTATATAATGAAATTGAGCTTTGTAACTCCCTTCTGCTACAAAGCAGACAATATAAATGAATACAGAAGCAATTATAAAAATGGTAAACAGAAATAAACAATATTCAATGTTCAATGGAGCAGTGCTGAGGATGAATTTGAGTTTAAGTCTGATAGCTTGGGGGGAAAAGCTGCTCTGCAGTCTGGTGGTGTGGCAGCAGAAACTTCTATATCTCTTCCCAGAACGCAGCGGGGTGAACAGGCTGAGGCTGGGTGGGTACTGTACCTCATCTCACCGATATCACTGATATTTGGGAGATGGGTACCAATGATCTTCGGAGCAGTTTTAATCACCCGCCTCAGAGCCCTCCAGTCTTGGGCCGTGTGCATCCCACGTTTGTGATGTTTCCAGTCAGGATGCTTTCTATTGCTCATCTGTAAAAGCTGACAAGAACTTGGTGTGGGAATTTGGCCTTCTTAAGCTTCCTCTAGAAATATAGTCCTTTCTGAGCTTTCTTCACCAGCGTGGAGATGTGAGATGACCATGTCAGGTTCTCTGTGATACTGATTCCCAGGAACTTGAAACTGTTTACCTGCTCCACCTCAGCACCACTTACATAGACAGGAGTGTGTGTCTTTGTCTCCTTTTTCCTGTAATCAATGATCAGCTCCCTGTTTTGCTGTCGTTGAGCAGTAGGTTGTTGTCTGTGTACCACTCTACAAGATAATTAATTTCCTACTGATATGAAGTGTCATCGTTGTTTGAAAGACGATATAAATATCATATACAGGTACATCTAAAATAATTGGAACATTGTGGAATTGTTAATTTTTTTTCTATTAATTTAATTCAAAACGTGATACTTCCAGATATTTTAAATTCATTACGCAAAGTAAAATATATCTAGCCTTTTCTTTGTTTTATCTTCTTCTTCTTCATCTTACTGATAAGGTCTTACAGCTCATGGAAATCCAAACTCCAGTATCTCAAAATGATACTGGAAATGTCGACCTGAGAAGAGCTCTAATCAGCTAATTAACTCAAAACACCTGCAAAGGTTTCCTGAGCCTTTAATCTCCCACCATACACCTTGTTCTAGTAAAAGATAATACCACAACAAAATTGTTTCAAACAGTGAGCACAGTGATTCATCAAAACCTATAATTGCTTTAACAGGTTTACTAAAAGCAGATTAGTTTCATTCAAGGCACATGTCTTACATTTAAGTGGATTTGACAGGTGGTAAAACCAATTTATCAATGACCCTCTGCTTATGTCATCTTCACATAGTGAGGCAGGGTGAAAGGATGCCCGGAAATGTTTAAAGCTTCCCTGTTGCTGGTCCTGATGATAGGTTAGATTGGCAGATGTACACAGTGCTGTGTTGATACGAATTCTGTCTCTCTGCACTCATTTGAACAGGAAATTGGGGATGTGGAGAACTGGGCCCGCAGTATTGAGATGGACATGAGGACCATCGCCACAGCTCTGGAGTATGTACAGAAGGGTCAACTTCAGTCTGCTTCCTCATAAACGTCACGGTGGGACGTTTACGGCTGAAACTCAATACACTGGAATGAAACAGAAATCCAGTCGACTCCTGTCAGCAAAGATGAGCAGTAAGCACTTTGCTTGTCCTCTTGCCCCTCTGGGTGGGCTGATGGTTACTTTGTTCAGAGAAATGTTGAAAGTCTGTTGCATTTGACAATTAATTGCACACCTGCATCACTGCTTAAGTTCTTGTGTGAGCAACAATATTAACCAAGGTGAACTGGTTAACAAGATTGCGCTGGAGGTTGTTCAAAGATCAAGCTTGTTTGTAAAATTAACAAATAACATTTTGGCAGTTGAGTAATGGGCCAGGAAGGAGCTATGTCAGCATTGGTGTTTAAATGTGTCACATATAAAGGTAGTAAGTTAATTAGTTCACCAGCTTGTAATAGGTTTAAGGGGTGACAGACAAATTGCCACTTTTCTCCTTGTCTCTTGGATCTCCTGAAAGCATTTTATGGGAAGGCTTCTTTTCAGCACCTGATACCTGAATCATGTATTGTATGTCTATGTACAGAAATTACTTTACTGTTGTCAAACAACTTAACTTTAAATTTTGTTACCGTTTAGTGATGGAACATTATTTTTAATAAAGTTTTAAAAAATGCACTGTTGTTCTTTCTTATGCAAGAAGGTTAAATACATTTAAATTACCACTAGAGTGTATCAATGCAAATTCAGTTTGCACAAAGAACATCATTTGAGAAAGAGATGTATGAAGACATACACTTGGATAAGGACTAGCCAGACAAATGTTTAATTCTGTGCTGATTTCTTAATAAAGACAAAGTATGTTACAAAAGTTGAAAGCAGGAGGCCAAACGACAGGCTGATTGGACAGTTTATGGAATGTGTGACGTGGAGGAAAGTTACGTCATGACGCACCAGGCTGTTGAGTTCACTCATGTAATTGCAGGCTTGTTTGGTAACCAATTACATTTCACTTTGCACACATAAATGTGAGTCTTGTATCACATGATAAAATGTGTATTTATCCAAGCCAACATTTTAGTGTAAATGTCCTTAGGGCATTTTCTAGTTTTTTATGGAGAAATGCAATTGTAAAGTATGGATATCAATTCAAAAATTTTTTTTACTCCATTTTTCTGTGATAACGGGATCATTTTCTCCTGATCTCAAGTAGGGTTGGGCCGATAGAAAAGATTTTAAAAAAAGTGGCAGACATCACAACGTTGAGCTGCCATCGTGATTGTAAACAACCACCCCAGCAAAAAAATAAATCTCAAATTTTCACATTATGTGTCCCTGTGAAACCAGGTTTAAATCACCATGAACATTCTTATAATACTTTTTAAGTATGCTTCACAACTGCCTTGGAATTCTCTTCTCCCCACACTCATGAGATGATTATCCCATTATCACGGGAAACAGAGTAAAAAAAGATTTGAATGGATGGCCGCTTAGGGCTTCCGTAGTAAAGTAAGTCAGATTTATACAAAATACTTTTCCTTATTGCACCAGGAATTTGTTGCTAAATACATTAATAAGCCTCAATAAAATGTTCAATACAATGGGCTCTTGTTAACTGTCAAAATCTCTGCGGTATGAGCTAACTAGTCTCAATATACTGTATGTTGCAAATACAGATGTCCAGTTACAAAGTATACTGCATATAGTGTTTAATCTTTAAACTGATAGAGTAGGTCAGTGAACTGAATGTGGCAATAAGATTATACAGATGTTTTTGAGTGTGCACAAAGCTGTCGGACATGTGGGATTCTTGTAAATTTGTTTTAACACTCTTAAAACATAAAGTACTTATTATGCCTGTGTATCCTGGGAACCAGCCGGTTCTACAAAAAGGAATGGGCAAGATTTCTTCTCATATACTTAATTGTACCCGATTATAACTTGAAAGTAGATGATGTACTGTGAGAAGTTGAAATATACATGTCCAAGCTCACATTGTGTACAGAAAACTATCTGTATTCTGTAATTGCCACATTTTTCTTTTCTTTAACACACGCATGCACAAACCCAGTGGTTAGGGATTGGGGGATTACCAATTGCTGACTTGTCTTAGGGGATAAACTATGGGGATAAAGCCTCTGTGTGACCAGCCTCTCTGAGTTAATACAGAAGAATAACCAGAAAGGGAAAGGGAAGAGGACGGCTAACTTGCGGAGATCCATCACTTCTAAGATAAAAGGTAGGATAATATACATTCAATTTCCATTGAATTACAACAAGGGACTCTCTCTGCATTGCATGTTTTGGGTCGTTTTTTTTTTTTTTAACTGATTAACCACTGTAATACTGTTAATGATCACAATTTCCTGTTGCAAATGTGAACTTTAAACCATGAAATAATTACTTTATATGTGTATAATGAAAGCAAATAGCAAATAAACTGTAGTACTAATGAACTCAAGTTATTTTGACTGTTTGTCTCTCAGTTCAATTCAAATTAGCTTTATTGGCATGAATGTGTAACAACAATATTGCCAAACCATCATACAAACTACATAAGAACAATCAACCCCATACATTTCATTAAAGACTCTCTCTCTCTCTCTCTCTCTCTCTCTCTCTCTCTCTCTCTCTCTCTCTCTCTCTTTGGTGTATGCTAACTATTGTTGTGAAACTAAATTTAATTTTCTATCCTGTGTTGTAATTTTACAGGATCATGTTTTAATTAAATGTTCTTATGCCAACAGCAACAGTATTACTGTATCTGATAGTCTACAGGCAATTTTGACATAATGGATAACAGATCCTATCAAATTATCTTCATTTTGTTTTTCTTGCTAATAAACCAGAAAACTAATTGGCAATGAGCAGCTTTAGTAGCTCCAGGCATTACACAGGCATTACATTTATGGCTCAAAACAATGCATCTCTCACTCCTCGGGTCTCCCTCCCTCATAAATACCTTTCTTTCTTCCATAAGAGTATTATCCAAAGATTTCCCATGTGCACAAAGCAGTTCTGTGTTACATGCACCTCTACTAAGGCCCTCGGTGAACAAACTCATTGTATCCTATAGTCAATAAACCAGGACAATGCCACAATAAAACCTCAAATTTGGTTATAGAGATTCCTGAAATAAGTCCATGTATTTCCACTTTCCATTCCATTCCTAAAATATCGGATTTGGCAGTTTGCCATGTCAATACCCAGTAACATTTGCTCACCATGTTTTTTCAGCAAGCAACAAGTCTTCCAAGTGACCAAAAACCCACTTCTAATCAAGGAAGCAGCATGGATATGCAGTTTATTTACGACCTTTTAGGGTAAGAAATATGCGGAACCATAGTTTGGGCAATAATTTGGCAGCTGTAGCCTAACCTTTGATAATGCAAGCTTACACAGCTAGAATATTTTCTAAGACTCAAATTCCTGCCTTGTCAAAACTTCTCCTCTCTCATCTCTTTTAGGGAAAATGCTTGGTTGTACATCATTTCTACCTTTGTGGTGATGTGGATTATCGTGTGGCTGTACAGAGACAGCCTGGAGATAGGGGACATCCCTGACAAGTATGTCTTTGTGACCGGCTGTGACTCAGGTTTTGGAAACCTGCTGTGTAGGAAGCTCGATCGTAAAGGTTTCCATGTGCTGGCTGGCTGTCTCACAGAAAAGGGAGCTGATGACCTGAAAAGGGTGGCTGGGCCTCATTTGAAGACTGTCCTGCTCGATGTGACCAATCTGGACAGCATCCAGAAAGCCATGGAGTGGACAAAGAAGGAAGTTGGCGATAAGGGTAAGAAATGTAAATTATTGAAATATAAGATGACTGTTAATCAAATTTCATAAGGCAGATCCCTAACACAAAACACGCTGTTTCACCTTTTGTCTTTCATTTCCTTTGTAGGACTTTGGGGAATTGTGAACAACGCTGGACGCTCATTACCCATGGGTCCTTCAGAGTGGATGAAAGTGGAGGATTTCCACAGCACACTGAAAGTCAACATGAATGGGGTGATTGCCATGACGATGACTTTCCTGCCCCTCATCAAAATGGCTCGCGGCCGTATTGTGAACGTAGCATCAGTGCTGGGCAGGGTGGCAGCAAACGGTGGTGGATACTGCATCTCCAAGTTTGCAGTGGAGTCCTTCTCTGACTGCCTCAGGTAAGACTTACACAGCCTCATCAAAATTAGATGAGAGTGTGTTTTGCGGAGCCAGTTATTCTCTTTCTCTCCTTTTGAAAAACCTGTATTGTAATTTTAAGGACAAATTGTTGTCCCATGATGGAGGTTTGGAATGCAGACAGGGTTTTATTTTAATAATTTTCAGCAATATAAAAGACAAATAATAGCACATATTTAAAGCAATAAAAACAATAAAACATACTCAGCATGTGCTAGACTGACAAAAATTTGCTGATGAGACCAGACAGGGAAAAACATTCTTCCTTCTCACTGTTTCTCAATTATTTTTATTAAGCTGAACTTACTTTAACTGTTTATTTACTAGATACCCTATTGTGTTTTTATGTCTTACACTCAAGCTACTACAACCATTTATGATATAAAAGATGTTTGCAGAAAGTTGCAGCCGGTGTTACAAACCAGTTTGAAGCTATATATATATATTAAACTTTGAACTTTCATGTATAATGTTATCCTACATCACATTTCTGTTTTCAGGAGAGATATAAACTACTTTGGCATCAATGTGTGCATCATTGAGCCGGGGTTTTTCAAGACTGCAGTGACGAGCCTCGAGCCCCTCGAGAGGGAGCTGCATCGCCTGTGGAACCAACTCAGCCCTGAAGTAAAAGCCAGCTATGGAGACAAGTATCTTGATAAGTGTAAGTACACCTAATGCAAACTATGAAAAAGCATGACATCACTTGTTTATTTGAAATGTGACACAAACATTCTTTATCTGTTTTTGATTTTGATCACATTTCACACTCTCTGTTGTCAGATAATGTCAAATCAAAAGACAAATTGTAAGAGTCAAGCAAAAATCTCATTCTTATGCTGGAAGTTGAAGTTGTTTTTAAATTATAATATGAACTTTAGAGTCACAATATAATGTGATTGTTTGCTAATTTAAAAAAGTTTTCTGTATTCTATATAAAAATCACATTGCATTTACTTCCTGAAGACAAGCAGCTCTGCTGCACCTGAAGGAAACACAAAATGTCCTACTGTCACATATACTTCTATAGTATAAAAACCTTGTATATCTTAATATAGACATCAGGAAATATATACAATGAATGTTCCAGAACACTGTCAAAATTTAGGTTTAATATCATGAATCTCACTCAACAGTATACATTTGAAAGTGAAGTAAAAAAAAGTATAAAATATATTTTAGTTGATCTTCATTTTCAGACATCAAGATCCAGCGTTTGATCATGAATGCAGTCTGTGACACTGACCTCTCCAAGGTGACCAACTGCATGGAGCACGCTCTGACTGCTGCCCACCCGCGAACCAGATACAGCGCCGGCTGGGATGCAAAGCTTCTCTGGATCCCCCTCTCTTACATGCCTTCCTGTGTAGTTGACATTGGGCTGAAGCTGGTGCTGCCTCGCCCCTCAAAGAGTGTGTAACTCATGGTGACGCTGAAGACATGTCTTCAAAGTTATTAGCCTTTTTATGTCATTCCGTGACATTTTTAAGCAGCAAGGAGGTTGAAATGAATGCTTTGCCTTTCAAAATACCCATATTCCTTATCTACGTTGTCCATGCAATGATCTGATGTTGCAATTCTTAAAATATGTATATGCGCACAATCTCCCATGTAAAAGTATTTTTTTCTTATCTAATGTCTTCTTGAGATATTTAGACAATATGAAAGAAAACAATGAAACTGTACTGTGTAATTTACTGTTTAATTATTGTATCTTTTGACACTGTTATTTATGGTCCTTGATTGAAGTTCCTCAGAATGCAATGATCTTATTGTGGACACAAATAAAATAAATGGCTAAAAGCTTTACTACGAAAACATGTCTACACCCTGTACATTACAATAATGTGCCGCCACATCGTGGTGGTTCTAAATAGCCTTGGTGAATGTGAACAATGATGCATGAATGTTGATGATTTTCATGTTTTGATTTTAGCATTTCTCAGCTGTGGGGTGAGATATGCTCCATGAACACTTTTTGATCAATTCTGAATCTCAAAGTGATCTAACTAACACCGAAACCATTCCGTAGCACCTGAAAATCAGCCAGCATCAACATTGTGTTAGTGTGTACTGTAGTGGCATGACATTAATGATTTAAGACATTTTGATCACATTGAAAGTCAGAAACACTATAACAAACAAAAAATGTGCTTCACCAGCATTAGGATCAAACTGCCTGCTTATAATTAACATCCGTTTATATTGTACTGACTGAACATCTTGCCAGGTGGTGCTTATATTCACATAAGGTTGTGAAAAAACACTTCACACAAAAAAGTGTGTGGTGGTCACCATTCTCCACATAGTATAATATTTTTGTGTTTGTCTATGTAAAAAAAAGTTGTGTACTGTACATAGGCTACATATCATATAGTTTTTGTCCCACACTATTCTGCACACTGAGATTATACAAGCATTTAATTCATCTGTGTAATATCTATTTTTCTAGCTGATAGATTTTTGTGTCACTTTAATATCTTCAGTAAGTAATGGTGTGTAATATGTTCTAACAGAAGCGTTACACCTGCTTTTTCAGTTCACCTGATTCACTTTTGCTTTTCAGTTCACTTAACTCACTTTTATTTGTCTTAACATTTTTTGTTGCTTTGACAGTTTATTAGAGTTTTCAGTTAGTTATTGATCAGTTAAGCACAGAATGTAGCACTGAACACGCCCAGCTAGCTGTGACCAGAGTGTTGGCAGATCATGTGATGTTTGACAACAGGTCAAAGGCTTTCTCAGACTTCTCCATGCAGAGGCAGTGACAGCTAGGTGTAAGGTTATGTTATGATTTCACCATAGCTAAGTATTGCTTGCTACTCTACCTCCAGCTCATTCAAAAGACTCAGTTATTATTTATCCAGATTTAGTGACACCAGCCCTAATGGCAGACTTATGTTGTCAAAACATATATCTGGACCCCAGATACAACTGTATCTGTCAGTCAAATAACAGCTGCTACACGAAGTGGTAGGTCTGTAGTGTATCGTGCAGAGCCCCTTGCTGCTTTCAGGTGCCCCTCGTAAAATGTAATTTTCTCTAAATTGCCCACCACACGTTTGGTGATTAATAACAAATGGTCAAAGTTTTTTGTAAAGTAGCGTATTACATAGAGTACTTTATGTATATTAAAGTGTATATGCTAAATATCAGGCATACATATAGCTATATTTTAACAACACAAGCTATATCGCATAAGTTAATTTTGACACTATTCCCGACGACACCTGAAGGCAGCAAAACTTCCCCCCTATCTTTTGAAAGTCAGTGACCTCGCAGGAGCCGATCAAAAAAGAACACCCACTCAAAAACCCCGCGGTGTTGTAGCTCCTGGAGCTTATTATTCACCGTCAGTTAAGTAGAGTTAAATAGAGATCAGATCGGGCTGTCGTGTGTCGCAGCCATGAACTGTCTGAGAGCGTTGCGTCTGTCAAACTCTGGACAGCTGATCGTCAAAAACACTGAAGCGGCGAAGAAGGTTTTCATCATCCAGCCAGCATGTTGTCTGAGCACTAAATCAACAACAGTGCCCCAGAGACGACCGCTTGCTCACTTTGATCATTTCCATCTCAAAACGTAAGTGGCATAACCTTCCTGCTGATGTGGATTCTCCCACAGCGTCACTGATAAATGAGTTTTAGCCGGATTTGGATATTAAATATAGGCCTATTAGACACATTGCAACAGTGGTGGAGTTATTATATTCAGATCCTTTACTTAAGTAAAAGTATTCATTTATTTGTACATCTTCATTTTTAAAGTAAGTAATCACACAAATGTAATGGGAGTAAAAAAATCCTCAAATGAAAGTACAGATTTGAGAGCTATATTTGCTAAAGCACGTGTTACATTCCAGCACTGTATTTCAAAACATATATATTATGGACACAGGATATCCAGAGTTAATCATCTCAATGCCTAATGGAAGAGAATTCAGGTCAGAAAGAAAAGTTACTGGTACATGTTACAGGTATCAGTGTGTCAGTTAGCAGCATGTGTCAGCTATAGATTAGTCAATCAGCACTTTGATAAGAGAGTTTTTAAAGCAACATGGGACACCCATCAGAGCTTCAAAGACAAAAGGTCTCCTGTATACAAACTGCAGGTGAACACGTCAAAATAAAACCGCATAAAGATACTGCAGAATTATTTAAAATAATAAGAGGAACAGTCCTGAAAATCATAACACATATACAAAAAAGAACACAATGTTTTCTGTCATACTGACATGACTTACAAACTCAAAACAACATACAGTGTTGTATAAAGCTATGATTGAATGGAATGCCCTTCCAGGTCAGATTGTTAAAGCTCAAAATAGAAAAAAAAAAACAAAACAAAGAAAGGAATATTTCATGTCTGCTTATATTAGAAAACAGAGTGTGTCATACATTCTTTTATATTTGTATTTCTTTATAATTTGTTATTTCTGTGTATGATTATGTATTTGTTTTGAATGTGATGTCTTATTATGTTGTGTATTTGGTCTGTCTATTGATTGTATTTTCCTTGTAAGCTATTCTTTTGTGCATTGACTGTGTACATTCTTGTAATGTGTTATTTTGTGCATTGATTGTGTAGTATGTTGTTATTCTTATTCAGTGTTTTGTGTGGACCCCAGGAAGAGTAGCTGATGCTTTTTTGCCTCAGCTAATGGGGATCCTAATAAATCAAATCAAATTAAATCAAATTTATCTGTAAATTAACCTAAAGTCAATCTCAAAAGGAAATGATCATTTGAGCCACGTCATTTGTAGCTTTGTGTAAATAAATAACACAAGAAGAATGATGGCTTTCCTGTTTTCAAGAGCTTACTCTTCACTTCGGCAGGAATGCGTATTCAAAGTCCCCCAGCTCTGGAGTGGAAGACATGCTTTATTACACCATTACAGAGGGGAAAGAGCAAGTCCCCATTTCATACTTTACCTCAGTAAGTAGTTGAAGGAACACCCACCATCCCCAGCGACATCCATCCATCCATTGTTATCATGTTTTCATCTGTTCTATTGTCGTTTGCAGGCCCTGAAGAAAACTGGCCTTCACCCATCAGACCCTCGTCTGAAGGACTGCATGGAGAAGCTTCGAAGCGCTGCAAATGAATCTGTTAGCGAGGTGATAATGGACAGAGACCTTTTCCACAGGTGAGACAGTGGAGGCGATAGACAAGTGGTGAAGACTGAATCAAACAATCAATCACCTAGTGAACTAATAGACAGCAATTTACTAAAAACAGCAGAAAAACTTAAAATATGTAGATGCACATAACTTGAGTACGCTTACCATGTAGAGAGAGGACACACGGCTCACAACAAAGACTGATTATCTTGCAAACGGTCCCATTTTATTTGGAAATCAACTTTATATAATTTATAACAACTTTTTTTACTTTTAATATTCATCACAAACCAAATGCTAAGGGTTTTATTCTGTTGGGATGACATACAGCCAATCGACACGCTCTGTCTAAATAATACGTGTGGTCCTCCATTTGTCCAAATTTCTCTTCTTTTCTTACTTCTAATAAACCTGTTGACGTTACTTGTTCTTCTTCTACTTCGTCTTCTTTGTACATATTCAACGTAGCACCATTTGTCCATTTGGGTTACTGTAGAAGCATGGCAGGCACAACATGTTGACATCCATGTAAGAAGATATACCTGCGGTGTATGTAGATAGAAATGGCTCATTCTAAGGTAATAAAAACATAGTGGTTCATTATGCAAAATCACATATTGCATTTACATATTTTTCATATATGTAATATGTAATATGGTTATAACAGTTAATTTGCTGTCCATGTAGAGTGAAATACATGTCTGTGTGTCATTTATATGCTCTGATAATACTAATCCAACACATCTTTGTAGTAGCGTCCATACTGATTCCACATTGCGACTTAAGAGCACTTGAACACACTGAGGTCGGAAGAATGACTTCAAAACTCTGGAAAAGGGACCATCTGAGGAGAGCTTGAATGAACCATGAGCTACTGGTTGCAATTCGCTACCCTCACCACTAGATGCCACTAAAACTTACACACTGAACCTTTAAGGTAAACTGCCTCTGAGTACGTCCAGTTATATCTTCATCCTAAGGGACACATTATAAAGTATATTATATATTCACTGCAAACATCGGGATGTTTTTGAGCCAGGGGTAAACTCCTGAACATAATGCTTTAGCTCAGATTCTTATTTGCTGTGTTCTCTGTGTGCTTTCTCAAAAGCCCACAAATTATGAAAGGATTTACCATCTGTACATAAACTTCTAATATAGCAGATCTGCAACTCAAAACAAGGGTAACTTTCTGGGCAACTTTAATGAGCAATAGTGCCCAAGAATTATGGATTTAATCACATAGTTGACAGAACATATAACACTAGATTTGTCTCACTTTTGTTGCCCGTTTCTGGGAGTGTTGCTCTTCTTCCCATCAAAATGGACTTATATCTCAATGTTGACTGTCTCACTGTGTTTTGTTTTCCATTCACCACCCGGCGCAGGCATGAGACCAAACTATTTTTAGTCTGACCTTCCAACAACAATCCATTGTAATGAAGGATTGTTGTATATAGACCTGCGGCATGATTGTCGCTCAGCCTCTGTCTTCAACATGCTTTACGTTCTAAATACTTGATGACAGTAGCAAGGTAGTCAACATGATGGATGTGGAGGGAGTCAGAACTGAAGAAGGTTGACACAATAACATGAACACATTTATGATGCAATGTAATTTGATTAATACATTTTTGAGACTGACTGAAAGGTCTTGATTCAGCTCTGTGGTAGTTTTTAAGGCTGTAGTTTATGGTGCACTTTAGTTGCAATACTGCAGAGTGGTCATGCTCCCACTCCCATCATATACACGAAGGGCTGTGTTGGGGGTTAATGACCCGGGGTCATGAATAGTGTCAAGGAAAATAGTTATTTCTTCGACCTGCAATCAGTTAAATAAATAATACCAAAAATATAATAATAGCTAACAACAAAAACACATGTATATATTTACCATATCACTGTGGGTTCTGTTGGTTATATATATGTATATATGTATAGCTAAACAAAACAAGTAATTAATCATGCATGTTAACACTTCAATGAAAGCTAACATGTGCATAGACATGTGGTGAAATATTCCTTTTGGTTAGTCAAAACCCAGAGGTATGCAAGTCAGTGTTATGTACTGTGTTAGGACATGTCAGCATTAGTTAATGTCAAAAGCAAAGGCCTATTGCTCAGGCTGATAACTAGCAGCTGCTGCTCTGCACTCACACCCGTGAATCCACACAAACACACACACACACACACACACACACACACACACACACATACACACACACTCCACACACATACTATGTTACAGTGTTTTAAAATTTGTAACACAATCTCTACACTGAGTTCACATTTTTCAAAACCGTTCACACAGTTCTCTTTACGGACATGCAACTCACAGCACAATAGTTAATCTCACATCCAAAATGCACTAATGCAACCAAAACACTTGATACCCATCTCAGGATCAGCTCTTATACATGAACACTGACAACATTTGTCTCTCAACAGTGACACTTTGTCACGTGTAAATATTGTTTTGATGTGATGTTTTATGTATTAATAATTAATAAAGCTATAATGACTCCTGCATGTCCGATCCATCTCTGGCAGTCTTATGCAGATACTGTATGTCCAGACATCCAGCTTTCATTGCGTCCAAAAGCCACATCTGATCATGTGGCTGGTGGTCATAAACTTTAAACCACCGTGAGGACAATAATTCCTCTATGGGGTTGTAATGGAGAGTAAAGTTGGAAGGAAAAGTGACACCATGCTAGGCTGGGCTGTAAACCAATCTGTGACTGGAATTGGTGAAATGCCACACTGCCCCATACCGTTACAAAACCTTCTGCGTTCTGCCTCACTGGCCCCCCTTTCCTCAACCAGCACATTGAGGTAATCAGGGACAGAAAATAGGCGATCAATGTTGAAGGCCCCAATTACGAGTTAATGCATTTTAATTTTATATATTTATTTATATGTAGCATTATTTGTAGCAAGTCTGTGTTGTGTTTTGAACTTTAAAAACTAAAGGTGACCGAGCCTTCTCAGTAGCTGCTCCTAATCTTTGGAATACTTTACCTGTTCAAATAAGAAATGCCCAAACTCCTGACACTTTCAAATCCTTGCTAAAGACCTATCTTTTTTCATTGGCCTTCAAACAGTGTTGAGTAGTGACATTTATTTTATTTTTTACTTTTTCTACTGTTGTCATATATATCTGTTGTCTATTGTGGAAAGCACTTTGGTCAACTAGTGTTGTTTTTAAATGTGCTATATAAATAAACTTGAACTTTAACAGTTTTGACAACAGTATATTAAGATGTCCAGAACAGACTGTAAATACTGTTGGTGGTGGTTGAGTTTGAGTGAGAAAACAGTTCATGGATTCTGAAAGATGCAGTCATTGAATGTATTTTGTGTCAGAGCAATGAAAAGGGATCCATAGTTTAGTCCACAGTGACTTCTGCTGTGAAGACTGTGTTTCAAGAGTTTTGCAAAGGTGAACTCAGTATTGAGGAAAGTGAGTTAGCCATTTACAAGTAAAAAATTTACTTTAATATTTAGAAAATATTAAAATAATTTAGGAAAGTATTACATTTTCACTAATTGCTTTGGAGTACTTCCTCATTATGGTGTTTTCCTTTCAGGTGTGTCGGTGGAAACATTGTCCTGCTGATCCAGGCCTTCAGAAAGAAATTTATCATCCCTGAGTTTGATGTGTTTGCACAAAAGATCAATGAAATCTACAACACAGTGCAAAAACAAAGAGATGGGAAGGTAGGTATTTGTTGTGTGTTTGTTCCTTATTATATACAATTGGAATTTCTAGGTCTTGAGTGAACACAAGGAGTTTAGAAATAGATAGCTTAGCATTGTTTAAGCCTTGCACATGTGGTTAACTAACTATTTCACATATTGTGATATGTACTGCAGACAATATAGTCAGGAACAATCAGTTAAAGATTGAAATGGCTCTCTATAACATGCTGCCTTTCCACTATTTGCATCAAATTGTATACTGAAGATGAGACAGAAAATGCTGACTCTCTTCACTGACTCTTCCTTACTCCATCTTCCAGCTCAGAATAAAAATAATTAAACCCCTCCTCTGCTGCAATACCTATGGTTGTGACACTTACTCCATCATGTTCAACTGGTTGGACTCACAGTGGCTCTCTTGTGTATTCTGGCTTTAGGTTGCAGACTACATCCCCCAGTTGGCCAAGTTTAGCCCCGAACTGTGGGGTGTGTCTTTGTGTACAGTGGATGGCCAGAGGTAATTAATTACAGATTTGTATTTGACAAAAAACAGCCTCACCGACAGAGGCAATGAACTATGGCTGTAAATTCAGGGAGCATTCTGCTCCCCAAGTGTGACCTGTCCCTGAGATATATCTCACCTATTACCCGAATTAAGTCTACTAAGAAATGTCCCTACACTCAGTAGATGGGAGTTTATTGAATTCTAGATGTTCAAATAAGAACATTTCGGAGCACTTAAAAGACTTCTTGTCCTTGCTTGCTTCCAAGTTGAGAGTGATTTGATGTGACTGAGGAGGATGAAGAAGACTGTGTAAGTTGTTCAGAACAACTACTGAATGAGCCATGTGGTGAGACTGTTAACTCAATTACTGTTTTAAAGATAAAGAATGTACTTTTAATCTAATAAGATTAGTACTTTCTGTTAATGATAGACTGAACTTGTCTGTCATGCAAAGTCTTCTTGCTTTCGATGATTAATGATTAATGATTAATGATTGTTTGATGATCGATGATTTTAGGCCTCCTGAAGAAAAGAGGATAGTTCTTGATAGGAAAGCTGTAAGTTGTACTTGCCCTTTCTCGTATTGGTACCGTTGACATGACTCTTGCGCAAGACACCCCCTTTGCTCAAACGGCCCAGTGCCCAACAGATATGACTGTGGTAGTACTCAGCAATACGACCAGACTGCAAAGTACAGTACATCTTCCTGGTGTGATTGTCAAAGTGGAGCAGTTTTATGTTAAGTGTAACTGGAAACATTATTTTCTATATTCTTTGTTCTTTTTTATGTATCTACTCTGTCTTCTTCCTCCAGGCACTCAGTAGGTGACACCAAGCTGCCTTTCTGCCTGCAGTCCTGTGTGAAACCCCTGCAGTACGCTGTCGCTGTCCATGAGGCAGGAACAGAGACTGTTCACCGTTATGTTGGCATGGAGCCCAGTGGATTCAAGTTCAATATGCTGTCACTTGATGATGAAGGTGTGTAAGGCATCATCACTGTCCTGCGTACATCACCCAGTGTGAGGAAATGACACTTCTTGAGATATTTATGTGATTTACTGACTGTATCTGTGTAATTACTCACTGAATGATTATTGTCTTCCTCCATCATATTTTCACCACATCATATCTTTTTAAAAGCTTTGTTTTTTGTTTGCAAACAAGAAAGAAATGTAGCTGTGGTCTGAGGCTCACAATTTTAATTGCACTTTAGATGTGTAATCAATAATTCTCTTGCAGTAAATATTGTAAAGGTCATGCCATTTCTCTCTTCTGTCTCTCGTTAACTTTTCCAATTGCATAATAATGCAAGCTCTAGAGCTAAAACTGCTAGTTAACCCCTTGACACCTGAATGTATTTACCATTATATAAGAAAATGTATTATTTTTGTTTTCATTTGCTTTCAAGTTGATGCTAAATTAAGTGGAGATTGTTAATTTTTCTATAGAACATAGGGAAGATATAAATTCAGGTATGATGCAAATAAGCGACGACAGGAAATAAAAACAAGAAACCAGTGCTTGCAAAAGGTTCCTAGGTACATATTGAATATGCACAAACAGGCATTGATGGAATTCATATGCTATCTTGGCTGCAGTTTGAAAGGAAGCGGTGTGATGCGAATTTGTGACAGTCAGCGTTAAGGGGTTAATCGTTTAATCAATCAACCAAAGCTTAATCTGCAATTATTTTGATAATTGATTATTAATTGGAATTGTTTTTTCAATCAAAAATACCAAACACTTGCTGGTTCTAGCTTTTGATGGTATTAGTAAGATTAGAATATGATATTATACTAGGCACAATACTATACTAGGGACTAGGCAATAAAGATAATGTACTGATTGATTGAATAATTGATTGATTAGTGCCCAAACAACAAATGTATTATTTAGTATAGAACTCCATATCAACGTTGTGCCTTATCTCATTGTTCTTTCTCCCAGATAAACCCCACAACCCCATGGTGAACGCTGGAGCCATAGTGATCAGCTCTCTTATCAAGGTAAACAGATGGACATGCATGGTGTTGAGTCAGTACATAGAGTAAATCACTCTCTTTTAGCAAAAAGTCAGTCACACAGAAAATTTTACAAACTGTTACTTGTACTTTGGAATCACTCAAGCTTTTTTACATTCAGAAATTGACAGGATTCCCACTGGTCATGGAATTTGTGGAGTATCATTATATTTTGCGGGACTCTGCACATGAAAGTCAGCATAAATCATTGCTTATTGAAGGTCACATGATTTGAACATGCTAAAATGTTTTTTGTTAATTTTTGCATACATATTTTTTTTTAACAAATGAGTTGCTTATTGTCATTATTTGAAACCTTTATTGACATATTTCTCATTACATTGAAGAATGTTTTTTTTAGCTAGACAAAGCTACCAAAGCTGCCAAGTATTCAAATGGATTCTGCAAAAATATTAATCTTGTTATTATTTTAAATAATGAACAAGTTCTGCCAGCCCTGTATGGCCATGATATGTGCATTATGTTGTAGTTTAGAGCATGAAGTTTGTTGAGTGTCTGTTGAGATATATGGTTGTCCTGTTTAGTACCTGAACTCCTCCTGAGCTCTGTGGTTTATGATCACTGCCTAATCTTTCCTCTTGCTGTACCAGCTAATAATAGGATATTAAATTATGCAATCGTTGAATCATTCATGTATTGTTTCACAATGTCTAATGAGTAGTACTTAAGTCATTTTCGGTTTTCATGACTATGGGAATGGCATGAGTGTAGCAATTACAATCAGCATATTTTTATACAAGCATATATCGCTTTGTTTGCAGCCTCGTTCAAATAAGGCAGAGAAGTTCGACTATGTAAGTAGAGTGCCTCTTCTCTTCTCTGTATATCTCTGAATATGATTATCTCAGTGGTCAGAGTTATGCTGCATTACACATATAATTTTGTCTTTGTTCGCCAAGGTTATGGAGTTTGTGAAAAAGATGGCAGGTCAAGAGTATGTGGGATTCAGCAATGCCACGTGAGTGTACTGTTTTTATGTCATTTTAGGCATTTTATGTTATCACCCATCTTAGTTTAGCACACCTAGATTGAAAGTGTCAGGCAAATGGCCTGTCCACTGCCCTATTGCATTATTGATGTTTCAGTATTGACCCCCTCTGCTTCTCTGTCTCTCAGGTTCCAGTCAGAAAAAGAAACAGGCGACAGAAATTTTGCCATTGGATACTACATGAAAGAGAAGAAGGTCCGTCACAGAATGCTGAAATGTGCGGCATTATAAATGCCTTTTATTTACTGTTGTATCCGTTTGAGACAAAGCTTAATGTTTATATACATACTTCCAACTGAGGGTTTTTGCATTCACATGTTTTTGTGACATGTTTCTTTAAACTTTTACTGTATTTTCGTATTGCGATGACTCTGCCAGTTATTCTCTTGCGTCACTGATTAATTCATTCATTTAGTCTATAAACATCAGTGAAAAGTTTGAAAAAAATTTCCTCCAATCAGTTACTGCTGTCACAGCCCAGCTCATGGACTGGACAAAAACGGGAGACACAGGGGTAAACTAAATAACAAAGTGATTTATTAATAAGAAAATAAGCAAAACCAATGAATGGGAAGAATCTGTAAAGTCAGTAGTGTAGGGAGTGGATGAGTGAAAATGTGCTGCATGGATGTTGTGCTGTAAAAACAAAGACAAGAAACCAAACAAACAAAGGAAGCTGTGAGATGAGGAGGTCCAACCCAAGACTGACTGCTGCTCTGGCTTATATGCATGGGGCACACCGGGCCCAGGTGTGTCCCATGCCGTTGATTACCCTGCCAATCATGTCTGCAGCCTTGGAGACAGAAAGTACACCAACGGCAATATGCACCCTGCAGAGTCCGTCACACTGCAAAACAGAGAAAACCAGCCAATTATCACATTGGAAAAGCTGAAACGTGAACATTTGGAAAGAAATACTTAAATGAACAATCAATTTTCAAAATAGTTGTTAATTCATTTTCTATTAAGTTGTATCAGCTCTACATATAAAAGGCATTTACAATTGCAAGCATTAGCTAATGTTCAGAAAACCTAGATATCATTGTTGTTCGGTAAAAAAAGGAAAAATAGCATGCTTGTCCGATGTATACGTTTTATATTTTGTTATTGTTTGTTTGAAGGGGTTTTGTGAGCCCAATATTCCTACAGATATCTCCAATCACAGAATACAGTTTAATCTTATCTAATCTCTAAAATATTCTTTTTAGATTTCTAATAAAATATAAAATTCCTTCTGCCATCCGTTTTGTTAGAACAACTGAAAGTCCTTCTCTGTAGCCTCGTCATACATCTCCCACACCCCTCTGCTTATCGCCACTTTATCATGTTAGAGGGGTTATGCATTACCTTTTGACCCTGGGAACTGTGTTGTTGAGGGCAATAACAAGAAACACTGATCCCATTTGATGGACCAAACTAAGATAGTATGGTATATCTGAATACTGTTAGGCCAGAATACTTCAATCAAATAGTCATGATGATCATATTTCATTCCCCAGTGTTTTCCTCCGGACGCAGATATGATCGATGCCCTGGACTTCTACTTCCAGGTAAACTGCTCTGCTATAAATGGAGCTCTTCGTGAAGAATCTTTAAGTCGGATATTGATTTAGCTGTAGTGAAAATAGTTTCATTAGCTTTGACCATAAACTCATACTCCTTTGGTCTCAGCTTTGCTCCATCGAGGTGACCTGTGAATCAGGAAGTATCATGGCTGCCACTCTGGCCAACGGAGGGATCTGTCCAATCACAGGCGAGCGTGTCCTGAGTGCAGAGGCAGTCCGAAATACTTTGAGTCTCATGCACTCGTGTGGCATGTATGACTTTTCTGGTCAGATGGCCTTTCATGTGAGTAACACCAGGAAGTGTGTGTAGACTCTCACCACCACTCTGACACAACAGAAATAATGTTCACTAAAAGATGAATCAGTTTTCGGTGTGATCACTTACCTACGCTGTGAAGGAAATGCTTGTTAATGAATCCAATCCCACATCCAGCTTCTCACTCTCATCTCCCAGGTGGGTTTGCCGGCCAAATCTGGGGTGTCCGGTGCAGTACTGCTGGTGATCCCGAATGTCATGGGAGTGATGTGTTGGTCTCCTCCACTGGACAGAGTTGGAAACAGCGTCCGGGGAATACACTTCTGTCAGGTAAGACCGAGAGTTACAGTTTCTCTTCTGTTTCTTTTGCATTTGGACTGCAATTCAGACTGTACCGCTTAGTTGCACTTATCAATTAACGTTAATGGCCGATCAGCACCTAAAAGTTTAGGCACAAACAATCAATATCATCAAGATGTAAACCATGTAGCTGCCTTACAGAGAACAAATTGTAGAAGGGGCTGATTTTACATCCAAGTGACCAGGTTAGGTTTGAATTTTCTGATAACCTTTGTTGATAAGCTTGTTTTGCTCATATTATAGTTGTCTTTGTCTTAAAACATAGAAATAATAATAAAATAATAATAATAAGTACTCAGGGACAGGGGTTTCAAATTAGTCATGGCTAGAAACCTGTATGCTTGATCTGCTTTTTATACTTTATAAAGCATATCATTCATTTGTCCCTGTCAAATAAACAAGAAATAAAAATAAATACTGTATCTTATCATCCTCAGGAGCTCGTGTCACTCTTCAATTTCCACAATTATGACAACTTGAGGCACTTTGTGAAGAAGCAGGACCCTCGCAGACAGGGTGGAGATGACAGGGTTTGTTGCTTTGTTAGTTTGTTCTCTCTGATATGATTAAATGTGTTATTTGTCTCTATTACTTATGTTACTTCCCTTTATTTGCAGAACAAGTCTGTTTTCAGTTTGATGTTCGCCGCCTACAGTGGCGATGTGTCAGCCCTGAGAAGGTACATTACCAGCAAACCTGATTATTGTTTGTCCCGTATAATAGATGGAATTCAGAACACTTCAGTTCAAAATCTCTGGGTTGAGATGTGATGACTGTTAAGACCAGTTATAATAGTTTATGATTCACATAATTTGCTCCTCATAATTGACTCTTGCACTATGTTGAAGCATGTGCATTTGTTAATGTTTTTCTACTAATTTAATCAGTCATCATTTTATTTGTCACACACCTAGAGTGGTGCTACTCACGACTCTGTCAATTCTGACACACCAGTGACTTTTTTATTTGTGTATTATTACAATTATTAATCTTCTGGAGCTGTTAGTAAAATATCTCATATCAACATAAATGTCGACGTAACTGAAAATTCCGTAATCGCTCATACTGTTATTTGCATGTGGCTTCAAACTTAAGTACAATGCTAAAATGTGTATTGTTTTTGTATATTTATATTACTATGAGGGAAAATATTTTTTGTATCAACAAAAGTATCGTTAAATTGTACTGGTATTTATTCCTTCAGGTTTGCTCTCTCATCCATGGACATGGACCTAAAAGACTATGATTCTCGAACAGCGCTACATATCGCTGCAGCAGAGGGTGAGCTCCACATAATTTGTTCGTCTGTGGTCTTGATATGTTTTAAAGGAGCAACACTAAATCAAGTAACTTAGGCAAAACTATAAAACAGTCAGGCAGCAAATCTGTGTGACCACTGGTCAAAAATAAACATTCCAACACAGAGACATCCTTAGCTATTAAAGGTCAGAGAAGGCATTACAGAGCACAGAAATCAAAAATAGGAACTCCAAAAAAACATGAGACATTGACAGAAAATAAAAAAATAAATACCTCCGGAGAGCTGAACCCCAGAACCCCAGCAGCTCTAGATGCAACACTTACCCCCCAGTTTATGGAGATTGCTAAACTCTATCAAGAGTTTTGGCTACCAACAACAATGAGGTTAGACAGTATGTAGAAATTCTTGACACAGCAACCCAAGATCCCCATTATCACACACCCACAAACTTCTATTTAAACTCAGTTGAAAGGACAATTGCATTTTTCTTGCATTGTACGTTGACACTTGCATGTGTTGCTGTTCTTCATGCCCACCCTGTTTTTCATTAATTCTGTAAAAGAAATGTTTTTCTTTATCTCATTATGTCATCTGGCAAAAAGATTAGGAATTTTATGTTTATCTATTACTGACACAGAAAAATACTTACACTTTACACAAATTACAAAAGTTCTTTGGTTTGACCCTCACAGCTGTAATTAGTGCCAAGTTAGTTTTCACTTCATTTGTGATTAACTGTAGAGGCACAGTACCTTTGGCTCATACTACACCAAACCATTAAAGAACCACCTCACAAACCCTTACAGACCGCCATATGGTCGATTATTTGTCTTCTGCTGTGGTCTAAGTTTATTCACAGCACAAATTTAATGCTCTACTGCATTGTCTTTAACAGTACAAATTTTCAAAAAGAGCCTTTTAAGCAAGTCATTTGTTTACAAGATTACTGTTTTCTTCCAAATGAAAAAGGCAGAGCTTTCTTCTCCTAAATCGGATTCTGAGGTGGCTTGTGACTGGCGGGAATAATGATACATCGTTTTTTAAATTTTAATGGGCATTTTGCTCTTGCATTGCTTTTTGACACCAAAGTGAAAACGGTTTCTAAGTTATCAGGAAAAGATGAATCTAATTCTCCCCGTCGAGAAACTATAAACTGTCATCTTTTCTGTTTATTCTCAGGTCACTTAGATGTGGTGAAGTTCCTTACTGAAACCTGCAAAGTTGATCCATTTGTAGAAGACAGGTGAGATCAGCATCACTTCTGTCTTCTTTAGCTTTGAATTTCTAAACTGTTCAATATGTTTGATCATGAGCAAATATTTTGACTTCTAGTTTGTTTTTTGTTGTTTTCAGATAGAATCGTTAAGGTCTTTTCCTATCCTTTTTTCAAAAGCTCACTTTGCTGAGAATAACCCACATTTGGATGCTTCTTCTTCTTTCCCATCCCATCTACCATTAACTGAAAATGTATAATGATCTTTCAGAGCAAAACATACAAACACAACTACATCTGCATAGAGTAGATATACTCTAAAGGATAATTCCGGTATATTTCAACCTGGCGTATTTCCCATAAACGTGGCTACTCTATCAGCACTAGTCGACAAAACTGCACAACGTGTATCTTGTCATTTTTTAATCTTGAAATTAGGAAACTTGATGGCAGAAACCATTTTATCTCACTTGCTGGTATACTTCTCTAGCACAAACAAACACTTAATGGACAGCCTCACACATGTAAACAAACCTATGTGCAAGCTGACCCAGATGTAGATCCCTATGCAGTAAGCCATAATGGCACAGAGACAAGTATTGTCTTTGGAAAGCTGTAGGTGGCTCACACAGCTTGTCCTGCTTGTTTTGAGTCCTTGTTTCTCCAAATGTCTTCAACAGAGGTGGCGAGTTCAAAGTTAGCATGACCTATAGAGTAACAATTGCCACATTTTTGGGTTTCCTTTAATGACAGATGAAACACCAAAGTGTGAATAAATTAATACATTCTAAGAGTGAACCTTTGAGCTGAAATTGTCTTAACCACAAATTGTTAATCTATAATTGAATACTGAAATGTGCATTGCTGGAAATTCTCCTATATAATTTATCTGCTGATTTCTCTATTTATCTTTACTTTTACTCATTGCTGCGCAGGTGGGGGAACCTACCAGTTGATGATGCCATGCAGTTCGGACATGACGAGATGGTGAAGCTGCTGAAAGACTACCAGCAGGTCTGCAGGCAGCAGGAAATACAGCACCCTAAGGCCGAGCATTCCTCAAAGTTGGACACTATCGAGGGCATGGTGTGATGTCTTTAAATAAAGTCTACAAAGTGCAACATGTTTGAAATATGAAGGTCAGTTTGTAGCACATAAAATGAGTGCCAAGCAAAGAGCAGAATATGACTAAATAAACATGAATTAACTATGCAAACTGCAGTAAAAGAGAATGTTTATCAGTGAACAGGAAAATGGAATATACATTTAGTGGACACTTTTATCCAAAGCAACTTACAATTGCTATACATGTCAGAGGTTGCATGCCGCTGGAGCAACTAGGGGTTAATTGTCTTGTTCAGGGACACAATGGTGGATGGGTCACAGTGGGGGATTGAACCGAGGTCTCTCACACCAAAGCTATAGGCATATCCATTGTGCCATCGCCACCCCTCAATATAAAGTAGAGAAGAAAATACAATACAGACAATAGGAGAGAGTAAGCATAATAAGCAAGCCAACAGAATACAACATTTGTGGGCTTGTGTAAACAGTAACATATGCTGCTAACAGACTCAGACTAATTTCGAATCAGTGCTGCTGGAATATATCACCAGCCTGGACACAATGTTCACTTTATGGTAATATTCATGTAGGCTTATATGTAGCATAGATTCTTAGTATTGTTGAGGAGGCATTTGATAAACTCAAAAGGTGGATATTTGTCCTTCTATTGCTTCTCATTTCTTACAGCAGTACATTTTTATTGTGCCTTGTTGAAACCTTCAAGTATGCCAAACTATCTGAAATGTTTGGATGCAAGACTCATGTATCGCTAATTGTGGGAGGCAAGGTAAGGAATAGTACATGATCCCTATAAATTGAATGTCAGATATATTGTATATATTGTGTTCTTCAGCTGTAAATAAGTACACTGGATTGCTGATACATAAATATATTATTATACAAAATGTCATAACTTTTATGCACATTTTAACTCTGCGTGAACAAGAAATTCCAAAGACTAATTTATCATGTGAATTATTTTGACATTGAAGACATCCATTAAACATATTTTATTTATCTGCCACCCATAGTGTAGTTTTGTTTTGATTTTATTAGAGGAGTCAATGCATCATGCAGTCAACGATTTGATGTTAAGACAGTAAGCGGCATGTACTAAATCAGCTGAATGTAGGAATACAAGATGAAGAAGCAGCAGGAGACGTCTGGTGTTGTCAGGAGGTGGTCGGCAGTGAATTGTTTTAAATGCCGTTATTACAACAGTGTTTCTTTGCATAATTGTGTTTTTTAGGAAACAGACAGTAAGGAGATAAATTCACCTGTGGCTACAAATGAGACAACTAACTTACACTGTGGCATGGCCATCTCATTTTAACAGACTTTCCCTTGTATTTATTTATAAATTTGGAATTAATCAGTGTTGACTGACTGTCCCTTTATTGACCTGGTCCATGTAGCTGTTTTAGGCTGAGACGCAGGCGAACACAGTGATTGCATGTGCTTCAGGTTTCCTAGCTTCCACCAGGAGGCACTGTGCCCCCATCAAATACATTTCTGTGATCTGGACTGGTAAACCCACAGCATCAGATGCAGCAGCTGTAGATCCCTGTGCAGGAAAATAATGTTACAGAGTAGAAAAGAGCTTATATCAGACTGGCCTGTACAGGCCATGATCATGTATAGATCCTCTATTTTGCTCCACTGGAGCAATAAGCAGGAAGTCCTGTTTCAGCTGTGCAGACAAGACGCCATCAGCTAATAAGGAAACAATGAAAAATAATTTATTTCTAACTGCTCTCGAAGTGTTTCTTTCAACTGTAATTGCTTTAGTCTGTTAGACCAATACTGCTCCTGCATGGGAAAAGCCTGTGCATTTTGAGTGAAAGGAAAATGTGCTACCTATTTCCTAATTGGTGGGAGCCCACTGATAAGAGTGAAACAATAGGCCTATATATATTATGGTGCTCTCTGTTTTCTCGAAAGCATTCAAAAAATGTACCATTTGTTGGCTACCTTGTGGAAGCTTTGGATGAATGCAGCTTTCTGTGGTAAGGAAGACAGCAGGTTAGATATCAATATGTGCTGTCTCAATAGGCAACACATTTTTGTTGCTTTCCAAATTTCGCTTTCCAAATTACATTCTTGAATCCAGTACTCTTCCTGGAAAAAATAAGGGCCTCTTTACCATGGACTCCGAGAGAGTAGGTTTGAATTTAGTGACATTTGCTATTGTTTTAATTCTGTTTTAGGGCCCCTGTCCACCAAAGCGTTTTTCTGCCAGCTGAAAACGCCAGCCGCTCTTCTGAAAAGCAGCAGGAAGCGCTGGCGGGCGTTTTTGAGGGCCAGCGTTTTTTCCACTGCTTTGGTTGCTATGATACATAAAATCCGAGGAAGTGATGTTGCAAGTAGTTAACTTTACTGGATGTAAAAATGTCAACAAAGAGTAGAGTACTTGTTCTGGTCCTTACTCTGTATGAAGAAAAGGCTGAAGCAGGTAGAGAGAGAGGACGGACTCGCCGGATATCGGTTCGTCGAGAACCACCGATTAGTCCAAGAGCTGAGGTTGAACGAAGCCCAATTACAAGATAGCAACCGTTGCTACGGTGTGGTGTTTGTCCCGCCCCTCCTGCACTGTGATTGGACAACTGAGTAAAAAGTGACAGTGATGAGCGCAGAGTTTTTCCCAAAGTTGAACATTTTTCAACTCTCGGCGACCGGAAAACAACGCTCAGCGCTCAGCACCTGGTCACGCTGCTGGCGTTTTTACCAGCTTTGAAAAACGCGGCGCTCCCATTGCAATGAATTGAAAACAGACGCTGGCCTAAGAAAAAAAAACGCTTTGGTGGACTAGTATATAATCTGTACTGCTCTTCAGTCATTGTAAACTGATGGAGAGCAAGTTGGTTTTTGAAGATTTATGTGAATATTTGTATCCATGCTAGCGACTAGTTGGTCTGTTGGTTGGTCGGTCCACCCCTTTGGGCCAGACTAAAATATTTTAATTATTTTATGGATTGCCATGACAATTTGCACAGATATTCATGATCCCCAGAGGATGAAACTAATGAGAAACTAATGACTTTGGTGATCCCCTGACGTTTGCTCACATTGTGGTAGGCCTATTAGATTGCTATGACATGCTGTACATTTATTCATGTACCCAAGATGAACTGTTGAAGATCTAGGTCTAGTTTCTGTTCAAAAGATCAAATCTGCAAAACTAATGACATTTCCATAAGCCTCAGTTGTACTTTGTGTTTAGTGCTTATTAGCTGTGTTTTCATTCAGAACTGAAAACCTCCAATTACATGGCAATTATCTTCTAAAGTGGCAGAAAATCCACCAGCAAATTTTCCAACACAGCCCAACTCTTATTTGTGATTTGTTTGTTTTCCACCCTGACAGTAGTGATGATTTATTTGTCTAACTGGAAGTGTGTGCAGTGGTTTAGCAGAGGTTGTTGTGGGACAAGATGTGGTCAGTTGGCCGGGAGCACAGCTGTTGTGGGTGGTAAGGATGAATTCAGTGGACAAACCTGTGGAGACCAATTAGTCAAACAGAAAATATCAATACTCACTGTAACAGCGTCAAGGTAAAACCATCTGTGAGAGCACATGTGAGAATACTGTAGAATTTGTATTCACCCTGAAAGTGTGTTAAATTGAGAGGTGAATATTTTTCATCACAAGAATATGATTAATCAAGCAGGAAAAAAGTTATGAATGGTTTTAATTAGTCCTACAAGTGTTGTGACTGTTTCTCATTAAAGCAGAGGACATAACCACTGTACAGAGCTTTTACAGACACATTAACAATTGTTTTTTTTTTCAGCTGAGAAAGTGGTTTAAAAAAGTCCACCCACAGGGGATTTGACCCTTCCCACACATTTTGTTGGTGGGGGCATGGATTTATTTTTGACTTTAATAACCACAGAGATGGTGGATTTGTAAGTGTAACGTTGTTTTGTGACTGAATTTCAAATGTTTTACAGAATTGTGAATGCATGATTGGAAACATTGGCACCTAGTGAATGGAGTGTGAGTTTATCTCAGTAAGACCAAATAGTCTAAAAAGTCAAATGAACACTTTTATACACATATACATACAATACACATATATAATTTTGTTTCATGAGGTCTTTATTATTCTGGTCCTTGACATGTACGCTTTTGTCTTTGTGTAAGCATGTTCTTAATATTGTCCTTCCTTTCAATAGTTTTTGTTTGCTTTTCATGTGATATCCATTTCATCTTTTCTGACAGCTATTATCTCTCCCTGCGACTGGTGCAGGTTGATCTACTTTATGAGTTCTACAACTTATAACAGATTGATTTTAAATAAATGTTAAGGCAGCCAAGGGGATTTATTAGGTTTTCATTTGAAGATCATTTGACAAACTGATTCAGACATTTAAAATGATATTTTTCTTGTTATGAATAGGGCATCCATCTGAGAGGTGGCATAGTTTCATGAATTTGCTCAGTTATGAGTGAAACCAGTAGGCTATGTCTCTGTCTGCATTTCTGAGAGCTTCCTGCAGGGACTCTGATCTCCTCTCCCAGTCCAATGATATAGGGATGGACTCCAGCCCCCCATGACCCTGTAACAGGATCAAGCATATAAAAGAGCACGCTTATAAAAATAGACTGCATGAGAGTTAAATACACGAAAGTGAATATGACCCTCTGAGGAAATATTATGTGTGTATGTTGGCTTGCAGCCTGAAATATTTATGTTACTTAGAGATGTGCACACAGTTGCTGATTTTCAACAATTTAATTTTTTAATTCACACTCATTATTAACCTGGTGTGGAGTTTGCATGTTCTCCCCGCGTCTGCATGGGTTCTCTCCGGGTGCTCCGGCTTCCTCCCACCGTCCAAAGACGTACGGACTAGATTGATTGGTGACCCTAAAATTGTCCTTAGGTGAAGTGTGAGTGTGACTGGTTGTTTGTCTATGTGTGGCCCTGCGACTGATTGGCGACCTATCCAGGGTGTACCCCGCCTTTCAACTGATGTCAGCTGGGATTGGCTCCAGCTCCCCGCGACCCTGTACGCACGATAAGTGGTTGACGATGGACGGATGGACACTCGTAATTAAATTAACACTGATTATTACTGATATATATTTAAGCAATAGCTCATGACAGGCGGTGGAATACGCTTAGGCTATTATATTAAGGGGCGTTGTTGTGATATAATAAGCGTAGGCTTATATCACGGCCTGAAGTGTGCTATTGCTTCTGTAAAACGGTTACCAAATGTGGCAAAAGGAAAGTAGGCTAACAGACGCACTACAATTTGACTTTATTTTATTTCATCAACAGACATTTATTTATTTATTTATGCACATTGTTGTTTATTGTGCAGCCACTAAAAACTGTCCAGCGTCAGTAGATTGACTTTGGTAACTTATAATATGCTTACTCTTGTGTGCCGGCGGCAAGCAGTGCCTAAAATAATAACACTTAAATATTATACCTACCATAATGGGCAGAATTGCCTCTCTCCTTGAGCAATAGTCTTTTGAAGAGGCTATTGAAACTTAAACTTTTTTGCACTATCGCAGACATCTGGGGCAAGTAGTGGACTGCTGAGTGTGTTTGTGTGTGTTTTCGTGTGTGCGAGAGGGGAATGTTGAATCACGTAAAAAGCAATGATTTTTTCTCTTTCTCATTATTTATTTATCTCCGCCGGATCTGTATCATATCGCATTTTAATACCAGGTGTAACTGGGGCGTGTGACCCCCACGAAGCTCAGATTATAACTCGAACCCTGTTCGTCATACGGATCTGTGCAAAGGAATTCAACGTCATACCCGTTATATACGCTCATTATATCACTGCTATGAACCAATCAGATTGCTTGATTTGATCTACCCGTTTTATAAATATTTGTATCCACATTACCTGGGTATGCAAGTTCTGAAACTCAGCTTATTAGTTTGTTATTGTTTAAACACATTCATGCAATTATGCAAGGTATTCTAGAGTACTGACTTTGATTTTTTTTAAAAGACAGAATCATCTTAAATGTTGCTGTCACTTGAAGTCAAGTCTTAGGAACTCTTAAGTTTTCACAGTCTAATCACATCTTTTTGTTTACCCCTCGCAATAAAAAGCAGTTTCACAGAATGTCCACCGCTTCACTGAAAGCTGCATTTAATTTTCCCTATTTGTGACAGTGTAAATGTTTTAGTTTTGGAATCAATTTATTATCCGAAGGTCATCTCAAACAAATTCCCTGACATGAAAAATAACTGTGAATAAATAAACTGAAATTACACTTCACTTACAGTTGCTTCTGCTTTTATAAATCCTAAGATGATCAGTGCCTGTTATCTCCCACACAGGACACAACATAAAAAAATGAAGCAAGTCAAAAGCACATTATAGGACACTTTATTCGATGGAGATGGGCAG